ATAAAAATTAATATTTTATTATATATTACTTTGAAAAGTTATAAAGGGTAAAATTATATTATAATACTTTAAATATTAAACTATTAATAATATTACTTATATTATTTTTAATATTAAATTTTAATATTAATAAATTATTTAAATTATAACTATTTAATTATAAAGCTATAGTTAAATATCTATTAAGTATTTTAATTATAAATTTTAATAGAATTTAATTTTAAAATAAAATATAGGTTAAAGAAATGGAATTTAATAAATAGGTTATTTTAATAACCTAATTATTATATAAAAGGGGCTAAATAAAAGGTAAGTTAAAAATTAATACTGTAGTTTTTAAAAAAGTTTAAAGCTATTAAGGGTTAAAGGAAAAAGAAAATATTAAAGAAAAAGGAAAGGGGGTAAATATAAAAAGGATATAAGGTTATTAATAGTTTAAGGGGTATAGAACTTTATTTATACGGAAGCCTTTAAATATAATACCTATTAAAATAATTAAAAAAGGCTAAAGGGGTAATTTTAAAAAAGTTAGGTAAAAATAGTTAATTAATATTAATTTACCAAATAAAGGAAATTAAATTAAGCTTAAACCTAATTTTAAGGATATATAAGGTAATAAATAAATAAACTATTACGCTAAACTTATTAGGTTAATAAATAGTTAATTGTAACCCCCTATATTATTATTATTAATAATAATAATATAGAAAACTTTAAATCCAATATTGGAAAATATTATTAAAAAAGCTTAATAAATTAATAAGCTTATTATCTTTAATATATAAAAGTAATAAAAGATTAAAAAATTTATTATTAGGTTAATATAGTATATAAAAAAGGATAAATTATTAAAATATAAAATAAAGGTATATATCCTTAAAAAATATTAATTAATTTAAAAGCTATTTAATAGTTATTATAATATAGCTTTATTAAAATATTAAAGGGTATTTAAAATAATAAAAAAAATAATAGCTATTTACTTTTAAAATAGTTTAATAAAAAATATTAAAGAGTATATAAAAACCTATATAATATATTAAAGAATAAAAGTAAAAATATATTAACCTTATAATAAGCTTAATTTATTATTAATATTAATATACCTATTTAAAGAAATCTTATATAACTTTATTATTAGGTTATTAAAATTAAAAGTATAATCTAATAAAAAATATAATAATATATTAATAATAATAGATTAATTAATTAAATATTTTATATATTTCCTTATTATAAATATTTTTATTATAAAGAAATTAATAGATTTATTATTTTAAAAAATATTTATTAAATATAATTTATTAAAAGGTATTATATTGAATAAAAGGTTTCTATTTATAAATTACTTTTAAATAATATTACATTATTAATTAATTATTAAAAAAAAGTTAAATATAGCTTTTTACTTATAAATTAATAAATAAATAAAAAGGTAAAATTAAATAATAAAGTATTATTTATAAACCTTTAACTATTTTAAATAAAATAATTAAACGGAAAAGCTTATTTTAATTAAATAAGTTTATAATATATTAAATTATATAATATATTATAAAGCATTTATAAAGCTATTATATAATTATTTATTAAAGGGCTTATTTAATTAAATTAAAACTTAACTATAATATAATTTTTAAAATATAAAGAAATATATATAATAAATTTAATAAAGCTATAAAAAAGTAATAAAGCTATTAAATAATAGTAATTAAGCTTATATAAAGTAGTATAATAAAAAGTAAATCCTTTATAAATTTAAAGTTAAAGATTTAATAATACTATTAATAAAAAATATTAATTAATAATAGTTAAGTTTTAAATTAATTAATAAGTTTTTAGGGCCTTTTAAAGTAATTATAATAATAAAGTCCTATTTTTTAATTTATTAATTAAAACTACCTTTAATTTATAAAATATATAATACTTTTTTAATAAATATATTAAAGCTTTATAAATATAAAAAAAAAACCTTATTATTATTAAGCTAAAAGTTAATAGCATTATAAAGGGATAATATTTTTATAATTAAAGAAATTTTAATATATAAAGGGTCCTTATAGAATAAATAATATTTAATTAAATAATAAAGGTATAATAATAAAAATAATTTTTAAATATTATAAAAAGATATAGGTAAAGGAATAAGGGATAATTATAAAAAGGGAAAAAATAAAGTTTAATTTAATAATTTAAAAAAAAAAATTAAAAAAATAAGGTATAATGGTTAAAAGGTATAATAATAGTATAATAATAGTTATATAAAAGAAAAAAAAAAGCTAGAGTTTAAATATCTTTATCTTTATTTTTATTTTTATTATTATTAATAATAGAAGGGGCTTATAAAGTAGTAAAGTTTTATATAAAAGGAGGTTAATAGTTATATAATTAAGGGTAAATTTTTTTTTTATTTATAACCTTTATATATTCTTTATAAAACCTGGTAAAGGTTTTAATAATAGCTTTAATAATAGTAATAATATATTTAAAGGTTAAAAGTTTATATTCCTATTATTTAATAATAGCTTTAATAATAGTAATAATAGTAATAATAGAAGGAAAGGTAGTATAATTTTTTTTAATTTAAAAAGTTTAAAGAATAATTAACTATACCTTTTTAATATTTTATAATTTTTTAAAAGAAGATATATAAATAATTAATAAATAGTTAATATTTATATTAATAAGGGTAATAATAATAAAATAAAGGTATATAAATTTAAAGTTATAAATTTTAAAAAAGCTAATAAATTAAAAAAGGTTAAAACTTATAATATAATTATATAATAATTATAAAGTAATTATAAAAAAGGAAAGGTATAATAATATATAAAAATATATAGCTTTTATTTATATTTATATTAAATATATTTAATTAATATTATTATATAGATTTTTAATATTAATTATTTAATAATAAAGTAATAAGTTTATTTATATTTATTATTAATATAAATAGGCTTTTCTTTTTTTCCTTTAAGGATATTTTATTTTATTAAGGTATTAAAGTAATAATAATAAAGGATAATATAAATATTAAATTACTTTAAATTAGCTTTATAATAAAGTAATAATTATATAATAGTTAAATAAAATATATAACATTATTATTATTATAGTTATTATTATTATTATTATTATTTTATTTAAAGTTAATAAAAGGTTTAAACTTTAAATATAATATTAAATTTATAATAAAGTAGCTATTATATACCTATTATTAATAATTAATTTAAAAATAAAAATAAAAGAATATATTTATTTATAGGAATAAAAGTTAAAAAACTTAAAAAATAAATAATTAATATTAAAAGCCTTTTAATAAAAGTATAGGATTTATAATAATAGGTAAAGTTAAAGCTAAAGAAGGAAAAGAAAAAAAAAAGGAAAAAATTAACATTAAAAAGATTAATAATATATTAAAAGGTATATAATAAATAAATAGCTTTAAAGTTATTAAATACTTAAATATATAAATAGGGATATTTTTTTAACTATTACCTATCTTTTATATATTTATAATCCTATTATTAAGCTATATTAAACGGTATTCTTTATAGGCTACTTTTTATTAGTACCTTAAGAGTAAGGTATTTATAGGAGGGGGTACTTTATTAAGGAACATTATAGCATTAGGGTAAAAGTTACCCCAAAGGGTAGAAATAGTATAAAAGTTAACTATATAAAGGTATTTAAGCTTCCTCTTTATATTTAGGGAGTTAGGAATTAATAATATTAAACCCTTACCCATACCTTTAACCTATCTACTTCCTACGTACTACCTACTGGTGATCTAGCCTCACTCCGGAACAAACCCCCATGACACCTTGTAACCAAGTAAGCAACAATCAATTATGTGTACTGCCAACGAGTATTATTACACGTGTTAATGCACGTATACCGAACGGGTATCTACCTGTGTGTCAGGTGATATAGTCACATAGACCCTAGGGGTGGCTGTATTAGACCTACCGGCTATATAAAGGGGTGTTGGCCCCCCCTTCGAGGGTTGGAGGGTTCAGGATTCAATGAATATTGACGCCTATACTATCCCTTCTACCTACCTACTTGACTGTGACTGACCTTCTACTCACTCCGGGACATACCTCCATGACACTGTGATCCACCTTGCGACGAAGTCGACATCATAATCATCGAAATTCATCGTCCTTGTTTTGAGCACACGACTCCACCACCAAACAGCTAGTACGGATTTCGGGCAAGGAGATGATTGGGATGAGAGCCATCTAACATAAGCTGTCTTTCCTCCTACTCGCGATTATAGGGCATATGAGATGTTCTAAGCTTCTCGCCGTATGTGCGTCTAAATTTGAAGAAGCAGGATAGTTATGAAGGGGGCGGAGGAAGGAGCTTAGTCAGCTAGGAGAACAGTCTTAGAGTTAACTCATGTCACTCATTTGATTTTCGTTAGGGTTCAGAAACCCAGATATTTCTACGGTTTAGCTCCTCGTGGATCGAGACTATACACAAGGATGGCAGGCAGAATGTCATGCTGGTGCTTAATAGGCAGCAAGCTGCTAGCTAGCACCTGAAATAGTTGCATACTCTGATGCAAGATCATTTTCTATTTAGATAGAACAGGATAGTCACTCGCTTAGAATACTCACTCATTTCGCCATCATCGGCATATATGGTCTTCGTAGTGTTCTACTCCTGTGGCAGTTTGACACGAGGGCCTGGCGTGAGGGAAACTTCCCTTTTGTGAGGCTCTGGTACTGCTGCCACAACCCAATAGGGGGTTAAGCGTCTTGTCGCCGTTTCTACATTAGAGCCCGCGGGTGTCCAGGTGTTTAGTGTGCCAGGTAGTACCACGGAATCAGCGGGGGCTGGTTGGTAGATATAGTAGTATGTCGATAGGGGCCGAATGAAGGGCATATAGATTCCTCAACCATCGGGGTTCTTACACAGAGTGTTCCTGTACTTGGCAATATCCTCGTATCGCTGTCTAACCTCTCCCCAGCCTTTATGCTCTTGAATCCCTGAAAGTCCTAACGCCCACTGGCCGCTTTGAACTTGCCTACCTCTGTAACCCTCTCAGTCTGCTTAATCCTAAGACATTTGGCATTAAATGAGGCGTTAGATATCAGCTGGTCTTCCTGACGAGTACGACCAGATTTCCAAAACACTCATGATCGGGAAACTTGGTTTCGATATACTCATTTTCAATCATCGCCTTTACTCTTGGACTACACATAAATGGTAGCAACGTTAGATTTTGAATCGAGATATCACGGCGTGGGCCTGGGGGATATGATATCTAGTTTATAAGAGCACGTTTAGGCTTACGTTACAGTCCAATAAGGATGAGGACCTCGCTTCTTGTCCCAAATTATTAAAGCCGGACGGCATATATCGGCCACGATGTCGGCGACTGGAAAGTCAGCGTTGATGCACACGAGCACGCTAGAGTCGTCCAGCTCTAGCCATGCTTGCGGATCGTCTAGGATGGTGAACTCGGCCGAGCGCAAAATATCTCTGTCTCGTTGCGTATAGGCCGGATCCTGGATATACGGCTTGGTGGATGACGCTGCAGGAAGAAAAAGGCCGCGTCGAACTAGGGTTGAATGAAGGTCGGAGATGAGCGAGTGGTGAAGAACCCGGCGCTTATTCACTTGCGTCTGGACGACTGGTCTGCCCGATGCAACAGCGATAACCTTGGTTAAGGGAATGGGTATCTCGACGTTAGCTAGCACTTCCTGAAGTTGCGCGTAGTGCTCGCTCGTTTTCCACTCTCGCTCGATGGCCCAATATGTGGTTAGGTCCTCTTCCGGCGGAGCGGGACGCAAAGGAGTATCTTTAACATTTTCGTTCCGTGTCCTGATGATAGCTCCAATCTTCATGGGAAGGTAGGCCGACTGGAGATCAAATACAGCTATATCCGATAACTTAAAGCTGGTAAGGTATTCGAGGGCGTGGTAGTGAATAATCCTTATCTCGACATGTTAGGAAATATATAGCATAATATCTTTTAAACGACGTTATCTTACCAGGTTAAGCCGCCAGGAACCTCATTCTCTCTCGGAGGTCCGCGGCGTGGGGGATGGACAAATACTTCATAATCGACCCCATTAACCCCCCTCATCGTGATGTTTCCGCCGTCGTTGTGCTTACCATCCTGAAAACGGCGCAGCTCTTCGCCAACTTGACGTATATTCTCTTTTGCGAAAATTGGGGTACCGGCATCGTATATAGTCTGGATCTCACGAAAGATTGAGTCCATTTGCACTAGTTTTTCCTTGTCCGCTGGCGTGGTTCTAGGCCCCATGATATAAATAATGTAGTACCTATATACCTAGGTGTAATTTCAAGCTGCGCAATCACAAGTAACAGGCTTCCACACTTCAAGACTTAGAACTTGGAATATGTTCTCGTATTCAAGTTTAATACGCGTATTGGGTGGTGGTTAAGTGATTTAGACTAGGCTACAAAACAAAGTCAACCATGGTCAATTTGTTAGTTTATATATACATATGCATATGCACTTAATGATATAGCCTTCTATATATAAAAGCATTAATCAATATTGATTTAAGTACTTATCTTATTACGTTATCTACTAATCCATTACACTTACACTTATGCGCATGCTATATGCAGTTATTAAGCTTTATCCTTAATAACCTCCGAGACAATTTACATTGTGCATTGCAGCATCTTTTAGCGCCTTACTCACTCCTTCATCTTTTAACGAAACACTGTACTCTACACCAATTCCGCTTCATCAGCTTCATCCGCACCGCCGTTAGCATCTCCCAGAAAATCTATGCTTTCCATTTCGTAGCCTATGCAGATGTAGCCCATAGGAGTACGCAATACATTCACAGTCTTACGATGTGCCGTCAGCTATTTCAGGACGAAAGCAGCTGGATTAGCTACGATCTTATTATTAAAGTCGTTAGTAGTAGTGCCCATTATATACTCCGCCATTACTTCCCATTCGTTTTTATCAATAGAATTATCTTAAGCTACCAATAGGCGAAAAGGAGTTTATTGGTTAAGGACTACTGCAGCCCTAGTAGATCATTGTAATCAGAATCCTCAGTTCTAAGCCCAGTTTATCTGCCCTTATTACGTAGGTTGGGGTCCAAAATATCCATCACCGTTAGTATTGGCTTATAGTGCCAAGCCTGATGGAAATCTGCGACCACAACCTACGTATACTTTAACTCTTATAAACACTTGGACTGCCAATCCTAGCCGACTAAATCTCAGATTTTTCCTCAATAAAGTGAAGTCTATAATATAATACCCTAACTTTCAGTATTGCCTGCAGGTCTCTCGAATGTCATGAGGAGACTTCATTACGCCCGTAGCCGCAGACGAACTGCACACTCAGCTGTACGTACGTGTAACACAAGATTACGAGCTCCATTATAATTATCACATTTAGGTTTATAGCACATAGAACATGAGTAAAAAGTACTGGGAACGAACTGGATAAATTTTTGAACAATGAGTTCATAATGATAGTTTGTGTGACAGTCTGGCCAGAACTGCACAGGGGACTAAACGAATGAAGAAGACCGATAAATCAGAAGCACCAGGCTTCGATTACCAAATTATATATCTTCCACTCTACCATACAAAAGGCCGGTGTATTCAACGAAGGCACCGTCTGTTTATGAAGTGGAGAGTGCCTTGGAAAGTGCTCCGAGCTGATCATCAGTCAAGCCGGTGTAGTGAAGGCAGTCCGAACCACAAACAGTGATCATAGGGCCGTTCCCACCTGGGCAGGATCCCGTCAAAACACCAGCGAGGTCCATGCAAGCTGGTGGAACACCGTCAAACTTGACTTCTGTAATGATATCGTCAGACCACGAATTTATATTTCTTGGGGCAGGATTCCAGGAAGTTGAGTACTTACCTCCGGCAGCAGGAAGTGAGCTGGTCACTGTGACAGTGGCTAGCTGTTCATGGCAGCGGTCAAAGTTGAACTGGGCCACGTTGCAAGGACCAACATCTTGACGCTCGATGCGCATTTTGGGAACGGCTTCGGTACCGAGGATATCGCGTTTCTTGCCAACGCAACCCTTGTTCTTGGGGTGGGCGCTGCACCAGCTCCCAATAGTGCCACCGGCGGCACCGCCGAGGATGCCAAGGACGGCAACGTCTGCGAAAATTGCGATAGGCATATTGATAGGGTGAGATAGAATATGTATGCAAATATGACAACCGGGCAGAAAGGGATCGTGTTGATCGCTTACAATGGGTGCAAAAGGTTAATGGGGAGTCGAGATGGTGACTAAATGTTTGGGTTATTTAGAAAGGATAGAATGATTTAACTTCAAGGAAATATCCAAACTTATATATTCGGAACCTGCTCATTATCTCTGATGCAGTTCTCTCCAATTTGGAATACTTATCGATAGATGCACCATGTAGACAGGATCAGCTTGGACAGGGAAAAGCAAGATGTTTGCCTAGGTGCTTGCTTGGTCCTTTAATGTGTTCAAATTAGCCAGGGAGGCTGGTAAAATTCAGTAGTTGGGCAATATACCCTGAAGGTTCAAAACATCGACAACGATAGCTGATAAAATGAAATAATTTTCAGGGGTCTTGGGATGGAGGAATAAAGAGATACACTGTATATAGCCAGAGAAGTCTGAATGTCTTCAGATTTCTGATCTCTTAGACCTTGTGTCATAATGACAGTCTTACTTCATCCCTTGTACAGCCCTTCTGACAGTAATTAAAAACATTTGTCTATGCCATCAGATGCTACAGTTCATGGCCATCACTTCAAACGCCATTCACAGCCAACATGTGTTCACTAGTCCTATTTCCCCTCTCTTATGCATTATTCTTCTTTGCAGTCCAACAGCCATTCGGCCCTATACGAATATTTTTCAGTGTTTCTTACATGATAAGCATGATTGGATGCTTGACTGATAAATTATATCTCCCAGACTCTGGATCATTCTTATCGGTAGAATTCATAGTATGGGCCACCCTGTACACGTCGTCCGTACTCTTCATCAAGCGTTCTGTTGTTCGAATAGATGAATCCTTGGCCCTCAGTGAGCGTCTGAGAGCTGTTACCAGACTATGGATCAACATTCGGAACATAAAATTGTTAGACGATGAAACCCATGTTCCCCACATCCACAATAGGTTCAGATATGCCATCATCAAATCGTCCTGGGCCCTTTGCCTGGTTTCAGCATACACAATTACATCTAGGCTAGTCACGGCTAGTCTCATAGCCCTTGGGACTGATATTTCTGACTTCGGGCCAGCCAGCCAAGGGTTTCTGCCACCCCTTGATACGAAAGCGATATGTTTGCGAGCGATCTTTTCTGTTCGTTGGGTTTGGAACACGTACATCATCCTGGCAACTTCCCACAATATCTTCTCAATCATTTTTGTTTCAGTCCTTGCTTGGGATTCCCCAGAAGAATGGCCTCCCCTATTTGGCAAAGTTGGTGAAGCGTATACATTGCGACGATTCTGGGGAACTTTCTGGCATCGCCTTCATATCACCTCATTTGAGTTATTTATGCCTCCTTGTCTGATCCACCAAAATCCAAATATTAAATTGCGGCAACCTAAGGATCATATACCCCGTCCAGGCTTCGAGAAGAAGGCACTTCGGGCACTTTGGATATTCTTCTTATCTGCAATTTGCCATACCTCCATCAACGTGCTAACCTTTGGCACTGGATATACGATATCTGAGCTTCGCTTCTTTCTCTCTAACTTTTGTATTTGTTTGATGGAAACATTGGTTGAATCATCTCTGCTAAAGAGGTGGCAACTTCTTAATGCTAGGAATCGGTTTAGTACAGGATTTGGATATATATGGGTATTGGCTGTACTTTTCTGTTTATGTCCCAACTGGCAATATCCTTTGATATATAGCTTGGCAGGATAGGGGATTAATCGATCTGGCCCCTAAGATGGCCTATACTGGATCCTCAAAGTATTCATGTCGTGGACAGGAGTGTGACAATCACTAGGACTGGGTTTCGCAGCCGTTCTAGATGATCATTTTCAATAGATATTTATAGAAAATCTCCTTTACGTGGTATGGTGATCATCATGCGCTGAGGGTTAACGAGAAGAAGGATGGAGTAGACAGTAATATTAGATGGGAGGTGGCAGACTTTAAGGGTAAAGGCGGAGGTTATAATAAGGGCAGACAACTGGACTTAGAATTGAAGCTATTCAGATTACAATGGTTAACTAAGGCTGCAGGAATCCTTGACCAACCAATTCCTTTTTGGCCTTGGTAGCTGGACCCGACTCTATACATAACTGGTCTGGCAGATCTGACCGCCTAGGTCTCATTGGCTTATTTCAAAGTGAAGTCTATAGAACCTTACTTTTTTATATTGCATGCATATTTTTCAAGATTATGAATATCTTACAATGGTTTTTCGTACGGCCAGAGCATAAGACGAGCTGCATGTTCAGCTTGCACGCGTGTAACAGAGGTAGAAGGTAATATCAACCACTGCGAATTAATTTTCGGTTATTGGCTTTGTAAATCAGGAGAATGGAGCAGGGGAGACTCAGTAGCCTTACGGCAGCCCCTGTTAGATTAATTGAATACTACAATTAGACTGATAACTCAACGTGTCTCTAATGCTGTCCGAAAGATGGATAGTTGCTACGTGGGAATTAGTCCCCTAACGCTAAACAGAGCAACAACGAGCGATTTTCATACTCTCGCTTGATGACCACGTGTTCTCAGATCGGTAACTAGCAGAACCATTCGTTAAGTGTGGCTCCAACTGGACGGAGCAGGTTGTTGCAAGCTGAATTAACATGGAGGCCCCAGTAGTCATGTAGGGTTGTTTACCTTGTATTGTACGCATCTGCTTGCAATGATTTCTAATTGTTGGTTGATTGATTCGATAATAATGCAGCAAATGACGTCAGGCAGTTGAAGAACTTTTGATTGTTGGTTGACTACCTTCAACAAGAGAGCTGAAAATGATGTCAGATAGCTGGCGTACTTCTATTTGTTGGTCGTCAGCAGCAGACAACCAGAAAAGAAGCCCCCTTGATGGCCTTAATCGTCTAATTTGCTATTCACCGAGTACCACAAATATGATCACCAGCCGCATAGCAAATGTTTCATAGAGTACCATAAATGTGACCACCGACCCAGTAGCAAACGTTTCATACCTTACCAGTGAGCATATTTTTATTACGCGAAATGCATGTTTTGAAACACATAATCATTATGACTGATTCTGGTGGCGTGTAAAGTTGGTTGATGTTATTCAAAACAAAGTACGTAATATGAAAATTTTCTCTTAGGTCCGTCTTGTTTGCTTAGTATGTCTGCTTTATTCCTTTTCTTGACTACATAATATTTCGAGCTACCACCGCCTCCATCACCATCGTGAGCCGTCCACTGTTTGTTGCCCATTGCTTCCACCTCCTGTCCCTCATATCCTCCTCTTCCGACATTGAATTGATCTTATCGACACTAGGAGCCAATTTCAACATGGCAGATGAACCCTCCCTTCCGTACTGCCCAATTCCGCCTGTAATGAAGATCTACTACCAGTGGAACTCGGAAGGGTTCTACACATTCCATGTATGCGGCGCAGACCAAAGAGATCGTCTTTTTGCGGTAAAAGTTCACTCAGGTTATAGCATGAGCGCACCACTACACGTCAATCAAGGTATATACCTATATAACGGGCCCACAACAAAATTCCCGCTCCTCGCTGCCGCTGGTGATGACTTTCCGCTTTTGAGCAGCTTACCGGTGAACAATAATAGCCAAATCTGGATACCAGCTCGCAAGTCAAATGGACTGGTAACAGAAACTATGCGTGCGTATCTTACCCAAGATAAGCATGCTGCTTTTCGATTCTCTACTGAGATCATGTCTTCCAAAAGAATGAACCGCCAGCCATTTGAGTGGAGGAATATCAATAGGAGCGAAAGGGGGGAAGACAATACAGAACATGGCGGCTTCAGGCTATTTCTCTTGACAGAACTTGACCAGAATACACCAAGTGGTAAAGGCGGCAGTGGGCGCAATAGCAGCGACCAGGGCGAGAGTGGTAGTAGCCAGAGTACATCTACTTCTTCCGCGGCCGCATCCAAGGACGAGGTCGTGGCTATACTAGAGTGGAAGTCTTTCTGGACAAGTCCCAAACACCCTTTCGATCTCAAGCTCGTGGGCCGTGGGCTTTCATTTGGAGAGCGCTGGAACACCACGGTTATTATCACGGCGTTGAGATTGTGGGAGCTCCACGGGCGTGGAAAGTCGCAAAGAGGATCTGTTGCCTTAGCGGAAATGGTTGGGCCAAAGGAGAAGCTGGCGAAATAAGATTCTCTACAGGTTTGTCACCCAATGCACAAAATTAGAAGGGAAAACTGAAATTTGCTAATTATCTTTCGACTCGTAGCTGCACCGGGAGAACTACCGTCCACGTAGAGACTGTGGCCATATTACTCGCTGTGGTAAGGCCATAAGGCAACTGTAAAATCGGCAGATGCCAAGACCCGTCTACATGCCTACAGTGTTGTCCGTAGAGAGGGTTGGTAAGCCTTTTCTCAGAAATAGCTGCCATTTAACTAGTGGCAGGATTTCTTTCGCCATACAATCGTCTATCCTTAAAGGGGTGTGGGGTGATGATGTAGTCAGCAAGGGGGCCTAGGAGTTTTGAGGTTTCGGAACTTTCTTATACAATAAAAAGGACCTTATGGCGATGGCTTCATGGTTTTGGCGTGTTGCTGTGACACGCCCTCTTCTCAACGAATACATGAAGTTCTTTTCCTCCTGACCAACATATTACCCAGTATTTGAAGCTATTCCGAAATATCTATAGGGGTGTAGACTCTGTTTATCTTTGTAGCCGTGGATGCCTCAGATCAATTTTTACTCTCATCCACCAAGGACCTTATAAATCCGAAGCATTGCTATCTAAAAATCTTGTCTAGTTCTTTAAACATTGTAGCAAAACTTCATAATCTTAGAGAGATCTGATAACATATATCATATTAGGGAGGTGCTGAGTAGCTTGATTGCCGATGACGCTTATGCCTGCTTTTAAAAAGTCTACAGCATCTTCAGCGTGACGGCATGTTGGTTTATAAAGGAACGCATACTTGCACCATGCATACTATTACGCGCGTGCAAGATAAATGCAGTTCGCCTTGCGCTACAGGCGTACCAAAGATGCTGGCCATGATCTTTGAAGATATGCAGGCAATATTTAAAATGAGGCAATTGTATGTAGAGTCAAGTCAAAGCCAAGAAGGAATTGACTCAAGGACTTTCGCAGCCCTAGTAGATCATTTATTCTGTGAATAAAATTAAGTTCTAAGCACAGATCTCTGCCATCGTTATAGATTCTTATTATCCGGTTAATCCTCAAGTTATACTGCTAGCTCTGACCCATCTTCAAAATTTCCGAGCTGTACCAGCGCTAGTCACTGTTAGCACAGATCTAATTGATTGGACGTTAATCTTACACTTTCTGCACCAGAGCTGACTGCTTTAATACCTGTGATCTTAGCTAACCGAGGGGTTCTAATATATTGAGTTTGCAACGTCGACTCTTCATCAGGAATGTTCTTGTTAAAGACGATATCATTAGGCAGTTGAGGAGATAGGACTGCCGGCCGAGCGATTCCAATCAAATCACAGTCTCCGCTGTCTATCGCTTCCCGCATGCCTGAACGTGTGCGGAAACCGCCGGTCACCAGGAGTGGCACCGAAGGGAATTCGTATCGAATCGCTTTGGCAAACTCAAGGAAGAAAGCCTCTCGCGCCTTTGATCGATCTGATTTCTCTCTCGGCATCTGATCTGCGTTTGACATCATCTGCAGAATTGGTTAAATTCTATACAACACCTCAGAACGTTCTTCCTCAATACGTACTTTTGGATCCTCCCATGTTCCGCCGCTAATCTCAACAAAGTCTACACCGGCCGTGACAATTAATCTTAGCTGCTCAATACAATTTTGGAGCTCATCAGAAGACTGGTGATCAACCGAGTTCAGCTTTATGCCTACGCAAAAGCTCGCTGGGACTGCCTCTCGAACTGCTTGCAAAACTCGCACAACTAAGCGTGCACGATTGGCAGGCGAGCCTCCGTACTCATCAGTCCTTCTGTTCGCCTTAGCGGACAGAAACTGAGATAAAAGATAGCCATGTGCTGCATGTATCTGTATTCCTTGAAACCCCGCGTCGACGGCCAGGCATGCGGCGTAAGTGAACTGCTGTACCACCCTGTCGATGTCACCTAACATCATCTCACGGGGTGTCCCAAAAATGAGTGGCGTGAGAGCCTTTGCCAGCAAACCTCCTCCCATATCCAGCGAGATGGAACTCGGGGCCAGAGTCTGGGTGCATAGCCCTCGCCTTCCGGCTCCTATCGGCGATTGCCTTCCAGCATGGCTCAGTTGCATAACAGTCGGTGTTCCGTGGCGATTACAAGCTGCAGCCCATTCTTTCCACGCCTGTTTCAATTGGGTCTCAAGCGAGGGGTCTACCGCTGTTTCTCTATAGTTTCCTAGGTAAGCCGCATCGACTTGGACATTACCTGATCAATCTTAATAGGTGTACTCCGAACGAAAACGTTTGGCTTGAAGTCTCACCTGTCAGTAGCATACCCCAACCCCCGCCCGCCCACTTGCCATATGCAACATGAAATTTGTTGTCCGGAAGATTATTCTTATCTGCCATGTTCTCTGACATGGCTGCTTTGACGAGGCGGTTTGGTAGCGTGAGACCACATTTTAAGGTGAGTGGCTGGGAGATGTGCTCCATGTTGTGTAGATAATTACTATGAGCTGCGCGACTGGCTTTTGAGGCTTTCATACGTGGCAGAATCAAGTAGATTGACTAGGCCAGGCATTTTATATGCAAATCAACCTGGAATCACGGAGAGAAAATGGAAGAACTTGATTCGGGCTCGGGAAGTTGGAACATTACGTAAATTAGAGCGCTAGGCCATGAGTCGAGTAATCGGCCACGAAGATTTAATGATAGAGACAGATAGTAATTACCCTTTTCAAAACTCTCGACAAATATTCTACCGTCGGACGAATTAATGCCCCGGTAGGGCTGAGAGGCTCTACTCAATGCCAAGAGCGCTAGGCTCACGATCACTTGGGAAGGAGTATGGCTAACATCACTGATTAAATAACCTTCCCTACCTCCCTAGGTGGGTAGTTGCTCGTAATCATAGGCGATGGGTGTAGGCAACCTTGTATAAAGATGTTGGAAAAGATGGGGTGTTGTTACGGATTTTTCTTCAATGAAAATCAACGCGCGCACCTAGACAGGCTGTTCCTCAAGTCACAAAGTTGATTATATCGCTTATAGTGATATATATACATTTAACTACCTAGGCTGGTGCCCTTAATTTCCGAGATCTACGACCCTGCTGCCGCAATACTTAGCGATCTTAGTTCCACTAGTATATAGACGCATACTTATGCCTGACATTATATCATGCACCTGAAACCATTCATGCTTGGCTTTTCCATTTCGTAGGTAGATGGGTGAAGTGGCCTCATAGGTAGTCTAGAGTCTCATCCAGTAACGACTAAGACGCAAAAGGCCACAATATACCTGAACATAGCAGTTAGATACAGTCGCTAAGAAGGCATAGCTTCTTGTGCCTGAATTATCACTCATAATTTGGAAAAAAAAAAAAAAAAAAAAAAAAAAAATAGGTATGTATTGGTACTCGTTCAAGACACGTGGTTCTTTGATCCCCTGCGCTCAATGTGCGCATCCGCTAAACACCAATAGCACATTGTTTTTTAATTCTGTCCCTCAGGGATCTAGCTCATATTTGACGCAATTCTCACTCAATCAACTCATATTAGGAACAATTATATTCGGTATGTCTGAGACAATACTAACGCAAAGGCGATCAACTGGCGGCCTGCCACCAATTAAGATCATCGGGCACTATATCGTCGAGGAGGCACCCAGCCATGACAACACACCTTGCATCACTGCTTGGGTGCGGGACGAAATCATCCAAGTTCCTGATAGATGGGAGGTATCTGACTTCAGAATTAACGACAAGCGGCCTATGTGGTCGATCCAGATCTACGCCACAACCCCTCAATCAGACAACCGTGACCATCTCAGAGCCCTAGCTGAGACACTTCACCGAGAGACGCTCCAAGATCGGGATAACACCGCCGGCGGCTGGTACAACCGCTTTGATGTCTGGGGTATGCCGTTGCCGGTCGACGCGTCCGACGAGGAACGCGTCGCGAAACTCTGTCGCAGAAGAGACAGCTTATGACTTCCACATCCCGCGAATCCGCGATCTCGAGTGGCAGCGTGGGTTCGTCATCATCGATCAACCGCAAGCACGCTAGGATGAGGGGGAAGGCGGCTTCCTGAAGGTGTCCTGGGGCATTCAACCTGCCTGGGTCGAGATGGTGAAACGCGAGTACGGTGAAAATTATGAACAACCTGAGATGTCCTGGTATCGGTTAACTGGAACTGAGCTAGGTATGTCGTTGACGGACCTGACTGATGACATGGAGTCGCTCTATGTTAATTTTCCAGACCCGATTGATCAACATCTGCAGTAGCATGAATTATTCGTTACATAATCTGTGATCTTATGCGTGATCAGTTGACAGAATTGGCAGCTCTATCTTGGGGCAACTGTGATAGACGTGTTTTTACGATCGTGCTATCCTAGAATTCAGTACAATTGGCTGACAATAGCAACAACATGCCTAGAATATTCAAGCTACATTACCCAACCCCATTCGATACAAGTAATATGATGTTGGAAATATTTACCCTATTGTATCCCTCTACATAACATGGTAAATCAAATATCGATACGCTGAAAATTACTGTCATCTACCTATCAGCCTACCAATAATCCAAGTAACTACTGAAGAGTTACCAATATAAGTAACGAGTTGAAAGTAAGGTTTCCTTATCAAAGCTGGCTAGCTAGGCAGCTTCTATAAGAGAAGAGGAGAAGGAAAGAACAATTATAGTTAGAATAAAACCTGGGGAAACCCACAAAAGTAATTCGCCTTGCCTCTTAAGGTGTCTAAGTCCCTGAGCTACAACGCGCCCTGCTTTCGCATTCATGGGTATTTCTTTCCGGCGTCATCTAGCACCGTGCGACCTCGGACGACCTTAGGACTCTTGGAAGGTATCCCTCAGTCCGGGCGTCCCCAGACCCGAGGGCCTCCTTCCAAGTAATCCTAAAGCCTAGCTAGTACCGTATCTGAACTGAGGTTCTAGCGGTCACTGACGGTGCAGCTCTACTACTAGGTCACCAGTACTTATAATGGGAGGCTCAATCACCAAGGCCAAGATAGAATTGGTTGGTCAAGGGCTCATGCAGCCCTAGTTAATCATTATATTGTGAATAGCATCAAGTTCCAAGCCCAATCATCTGCCCTTGTTATTCTAGCGTATTCAGAGCCTGAAAATAACCTCCTTGCTTCTATCAAATAGGTCTTTGCTACAATTACAGATGGAGTGTATTGATGGCGGGTATCAGAACTCGGAGTGTAAAGCTAGAAATTTGCATATTTAAAAATAATAATCTACACCACCTCAAACCATCGTAAGAAATTTCCTGCTATGATAAAGAGCCCGATGGCTAGTGTAGTCAATGATGGGACACCTATCTGATCTATAAAGCGCTTGCTTGGCAAAGTCTAGAAGACACCAGCGACAACGGAGACTTTACAGCAATGATACTACGACGAATTATATTGACTCGAGATGATTTGATAAACAAAAACCTGCATACTACATTGATATAGTGAGTCTGACAGCAAAGCCCGTCCCGTTTTCGGAGTAGCCGAACCAAAAGGTGTCCCATGTCTCAGTGTATTATGGACCTTTTGGTTATTTGCATAGCACTTGACGGGCTAACCATCGTAAAAATCATTCTCCAAGCCCCCAGTCGCCGGCATTAGGAACGATAGCCGAAAGTTCAGCTCAGGCTCTTTTCTCTGGTTATTCCTTCGTTGGCTGACAAGTGCTGTACGCGTGCGACTGGCAGACCAATCGCTTTCGTCTCGACAATGCTACCCCGCGAGGAGCCAGGGTCCTCAATAGCCAGCAGCGCTAAGCGAGGCCTTGCAAGTGGTATAGCAATCCTTGTTCTATTAAGTAGTACAGTAGCACCTGCGCGGTTGGCAGTCCTGCAGCGGAAGTCATGTTGCAGATCACTTGAAGGTCAAACGTATGTGGCTTGGAACATGCCTGCTTCATAGACGAACTACATAGGAAAAGGCGGAATAGTTGTCACATAGCCAGCGTACCAAGGCTACTCGGAGGCTACGTAACATACTGAGGCGGGATACTCTTGTTTGGAGTATTGGAGACCTGTTGATTATTACTTTCTCTTTTGAGAAACGGCAATATCAAGTAATTAAACTCAGTTGGTCTTAGCCCTCCAGGATATGAGATCGGGACTCTTCAAGTGTCCACGCTGCAGCAAAAATCTATTCAATAGATCAGAAAGTACTAAGCCGTCGAAAACAAAGCCCACCTTCATTACGCGATATCACAACGAATTCACGTAACTTACAAGTTGGAAGGAGTTTATAATAGCCTAGTATATTTTTAACGTAAGACACACGCAGAGTTGCTCCAAGGCTAGCTGGTATGAAAAATATAATTAATCACCATTATAAAGTGCTGCCAGTTACGAAGGGGTAGGTTTCCAACTTAAAAAATAGTAAAAACCCCTCCGGGCATAATCTAATGATAAATTCAATTATAAAAAGACTAAATATTAAAATCTAAGCAGATTAAATATGTAGTTATATATTTATAACTTTAATATAATTAATTATAATTAACTATATGACAAGCTGTTTAGTGAAGGTGTTTTTTTTTTTTTTTTTTTTTTTAACCCCTTAATGGTTATGAACGCTGTAAATGAAATCAAATTTATTGTTACTATATTGTTTAAAGTAAGTTCCTACAAGGAAATATACAGATAGACCACTCGCTTGTCTGGGTCATTCACGTATCGTGTATGTTAGGGCCATACAGAAAACATGACTAATATAGCAAGGTCATTCTCAGCTTTACCATTTAACCGACCTATCGTGCTACTTCAGCCCAACAGAAGCTCGCTGTTAGCATCAGTACTTCGAGCGGTAATCGCGCATATAATTATTTCTCGCAACCTATTGCTGCTTTGGTAATGCTACTAACTCGCCAGCACAGCCCACGATATTGAATCACATGGCCGCCATAATAACAAAATTTCTCTGGATCGTAGTCATCCTCGTAATCAATGGCTCGCATATTATCACCAGACTCATGATTATCCTCCAACTACGAAGCTGACACCTCATCCTGAATCGGAGTTTAATAGGCTACTACCAGTTATCAAGTTATGGTTACGGCGAAAATTTAATCGCATCCTTGCTCGAGCTGAAAGTCCAGGCCTTGCAAGAATGCTGCCTTGCAAACAGTTAACGATCATGTGGGATTCTTTTCGCCGGATCTTTTACTCCGGAATACAGAAAAGCCGAGCATCATATCACACTTATACGCCGAGCCTAGATAGTTGATCAGAAGCTTTGGGGAATATAAAAGAGCTGCAATTCCCCCTTTCCTCGCCAGATATCCCATCGTTCTCAACAGTACAGCATTTTGCTACCCAATCATCATCATCAAACTCGTTCATCTCTTCGATAAGGTGCTTCTTCGACTCCCAGGCGAAAATGGTTCAGCACTTCCGATTTATGCAGATGAAGAATTTAGGAGGCTTCGTCTGCTGGCCAATGATCCAGAATGTGACCACAGGAAAGGTTGTTTGGAACCCACGTGATAACGGCAATAAGTGGAAGCTCTTGCTCGGTGCGTATCTTTTCCCTGCACGCTGAATTGTTGATGCGCTATATCTGGATGAGACGATTAACAAGTTCTGGAAATAGGCGGGCATATCATGATCGATCTCAGCAGCTCTGACCATAAAGATGAGTTCCAAGATGGGCAGTTGTACAAAGTTGGAGCCAATATTCAGTCGGGCAACGATGCCTGGTGCGAGGAGGTCTTCCAGTACGACACTTCGAGCACTCAAACCATCTACATGACCGCGAGCGGTAACCTCCCACATGGTCAGAATCTCGGTTATAACGGCACTACGGACCCATGGGATTAGTTATGCACTGGAGCTTTGCGTAAAGCCAGGCTGAGAATTCCAACGGCAGAAGCGACGAACAGATTGTCAGAATCAGAATTGGATTTTTCAGGTTACGGTATCGCGTCTGGTTGTGAACGAGAAAAGGGGCAGTTGTGCTGTCTCTATTGAGGAATCACTGTCTGCCCCGCCGTTGTTGATGTGGTTGTGGGTGTCTCAAGAAAACTAGAGAGTCAGCATTTAACTTCAATACACTCATTACGACTCCAATCTTGCAGGCTTCTATACCAACTCTTCGATATTTATATGCGCACGTATATATGCTAACTAGCTATTAACTGTCACTACCATTTCTATATTTGCTTCCTTTTTATTCATTTTGTATTCGGAGAGTACTATGGGCTCAAGGAATATTTTGGTAGCTTTCAGCGTGTGTAAACATCTACTGCAAACGAATAGCTCAGAAGGGCGCAATCTATTACACAGCTACCTTCGACTACATGCGAGCTATTCCATGCCCATGAGCACCTGCTTCAGTGACCAGGTTATCCATAATTACTAGTTAACCCAGATTCACCTCAATTCCTACCCATGCCCATACTTCGGTTATCTGTGAAAGGAGACCACTCTTCTCTGATCCAGAATGCAATTTGGTTTTGCTGCCCCGTAGTGAACACCCCTAGATACAACACGGAGTACATCTTTCGAAAAGGAAAATGTCCCTGTGTCCTGATCACTGCGTGTGTATTCCAGCCTGATTCTCAAGGCCAAGAACAGCCTTCTTCTAACGCGAAGGGGAAAATAATTTTTGTAATATGTGACGTACTATATAAACCGTTGATTCCACACGTTGGATTAACGGCATCGTTTTTCCTCCGTTACATAATATATATGTACCTACCTATTACCCCTATGATACACTGGTTTAATTCTGGTTGTGGGCCCATGCAAGAGAACTGTTGAATTTACTCACTCTGCAATCACTAAGTGGCCATGTTGAGACTCATTAGATGAGATTCATGAGCCGAAGCCCAGCGCTGAACACTGTCAAAACAAGTTAAGCAATTTGTCTTTATCTTGTTTTCTCTGATTTGAGCCCATTTTTGGCCTTATTTGACCTACTTGGCTAGAATCTGTATTTGGCTTGACTGTAACTGGTCACCAAGTAATCCAAATAAACCGAAGTAGCTTTATAGGTCGTCATTAAGTAGCCCGTACGGAGTAGTTTGGAAAGTACGGAAATAGTATACCCTTATAACTAATCTTACGATAACGGTGCCAACTACCCAAATGTCCCAGGCGCCTTACGCGTTAACGTCCCCCTTACGCGTTAACGCCCCCTTACGCAACGCATACTACACTTAAGGTGGTAGGTTAGGTCAGGTCAGGTCAGGTCAGGGGTTAGGTCAGGTTAGGTCAGGTTAGGTCAGGTCAGTCACCTACAACCTTCCAACCTTCGAAGCCTTCAACAACAACTTTCTAATGGCTAAACCCTGTAAAAAAATCAGAAAAATCAAAAGATTACTTGCAATTAATTGCAATTGAAGGAGTCAAGTATAAAAATCTGTTTTGGTTTGTAAAATAATTTAGAAGGTCTTATCTTATTTTGACTGGTCAAGTTATCTGGCAATCGAACAAAATAATACTTGGTCGGTGGGCGGCGCTGCCGAAGCCAAGTTTGCAATACGTGACACGCCGAAGGGCGCCAAGAACCGCAGTTAGCCTAATATTGCCATTAGTTTGATGAGTGGAAGGTAGTAGTTAGGGGTCAAACATCCTTATCCCATTCACAGATATATATGCGTCGGTATTACAAAAGTAGACACTCTAACACGTCTAGGTGAAATGTCCTGACACATTCAACCTTTATATAGTAGAGCATATTCCTATGTCTTGTCTTGTGCCGTATCACTTAAGGAGAGTAGCGGGCTCATCAGGCAGTAGTATATATAGATAATAGTATACAGTTTTAATACATCAAGTATCTTATAGTAAGTAGAGAGCTTAGGATGCATAATAATCATATAGCAGCAGCATCAATTAGATTTCCCCAATGTCATTAATCACCTTTATTCGGCGGCCGCGCTGGCCGCTGCTTTCTCTGCGGTCTTCTGGATAATGTCGGCCACCTGTTCTGGCGCATTGGTGAAACAGAAGTGACCAGTGTCGATCTCCAGGATTTCCTCAAACTTATGGCCTTCAGGGGCCGCGGTAATCATGTCAGGCATGAGATCTTTCGTAGCTCTCACATAAGTGCTGGGAATGTCGCGCCAGCCGACGTACGTCGTGACGTCGTAGAAACACTGCCGCCTATGGCTGCGTATGGATGCCATGAGAAGCTTCGTCTGCTCCTCGTTGAAGTCAGGGACCCAGGCCTCGGTACCAGGAGCATCGGGGTTACGCCAGCAGAGATCACCGTCAGCGATAAATTCCTCTTGTGGCGGATCTTCGGGCCACACCTTGCCACCGACATCTAAGACGATCGCGGCGACATAAATCATGCGAATGACGGCGGTGGCATTGGGACCGCGCGAGGCAGCATCTAAGCCCTTGACTGCTTCAGCCGTCACTACGCCGCCGTAGCTGTGACAGACGGCTACTACGTTATGTCCGGCGTCAAGCTGCGGGATGATGATATCTCGGACGGCCTGCGCATCCGTTTGTAGGCCATGGGTAATGGGGGGCGCATCTTTGGGTCTTAGTTCTGAGCCGACACTGGGTAAAGAGACCGTCAAGCAAGTGAAGCCAGCTTTCGTGAGAATGTCTATGGTGAATCGGAAGTATCCAGGGTCACACCACGCTCCAGGACAGAAGACTAGAACTGGTTTCTTCCCGGACATTGTGAAAGAAAGTGATATTTACTTTGAATTATTGTTCGAGTGTAGGCGGATCGTGGGGCGAAAAAAGTGCCGAGGAGAACACGGGATAGAATGAATGGTGGGATATAGAGAAAGAAGAAATGAGCGAAAAGAGAGACAGACTGAGCTTTATAATGTCTTTTGAATTCATACTTTCAAACATGATAATTGACTTTACCTGTGAGATTCTACACATATTGTCACTGGTCAGTAGTTGTCGTTGCACGACTCAGCTGCAGGGGCTTGGGCCATTGAGTCTCCAAATCCTGATTGGCCAATTCGATACGAGCTTGGGGGGGCCAAACGGAATTGCCCGCCTCTCACTCTAAACTCTGGGACACCGAGACTCATCGGCTTACCAATAAGCGGATATTTATCCTTAATCGACGAGGAAAATTGTATAAACGATGGAAACCAGGCGATATGCTGCTATTACCGAAAATGCAGATGTTGACCTACATACCTACCCAGGTAGTTAGGTGACGTGTTTGTATATCCTATGGCTGGGTGTAGACGGCTGACTCAGATGGTCAGCAGCGAAAGTATCTGCTCTCGACCCATCTCTCTTCCATATCTGACACCATGTTCCCTACCACCACTGCAATCTCTGGAAACACTTTCGTTAGACGATGTAAGCCAACACGTCCGGCAGAATATGTCGCAAAGACGATGCGGTCTTGTGGCACGCCGTGGTCAACCAAGACTTGAACAGCCATTAGTCCAGAGCCGCCACTCGACATTTGCGAGTCGAGGAGCAGTACACTTTCATGTTTGCTAATATCTTTGGGCAGCTTTAGGTAGTGCAATTCTGGTTCCCCAGTCCTCAGGTTGTTTTGGATCAAGAGCCGGCCAGTGCGACAATCTGGGATCACTCTTCTCAATCCTGCTTCAAACGCAGCGCCACCTCTGAGTACCAATACAGCGCTCACTTCACCCTTGGGGGCCAAACCGTGATATGGTGTTCCAGATGAAGTCTCAACCGTCAATGCCTTGAAGTGAACATTATTCAGAGCCCTATCTTCAGTATTAGCTGGTTAAAGTTACCGTACGTGTTCCAATTAGGCGCTTACTGCTCAATCAAAAGGCAGGAAAACCTGTCAAAGTAGAAGATGAAGTCTTCGCTAGAGGTATCGAGATCCTGTATTAGTGTGTTCATTCCCTTGAGCTGAGGGGTCTCCTGAAGGATTACTACACGCTTCGAAAGCGGTTCACTCTCAAAGCCGGCTTCCAAGCTCTTCAGCGCTGCGCGGTGATGTGTAGATTTCTCCAACAACTTCCTCTCTATGTATTGGGTAACCATGGCTTGATTATATTAGTGGTGTACAAGACAATCGGATATTATACCAACTTACTCATAGCGACCCGATTCTCAATTCCCCTGGGAACGATAATATCTGTATGCGTTAGTACGTGTTGAAGTGGAGGCTGCCCTTCATCCGCTACATACCGGCCTCGTTCCGCTGGGGCACGACGTACTGTAAGACATGGTTAGCTAAGTGAGAGGCCGGGTCTGAGATGAAAGTAGCATACTTTCTCGTAATTCGGCTTTACGAATCCGAACCACTGCTTGATACAGCCCTCTACCGTCCGCCCACGGTCTCGAACGTCACGCAAGACTATAGGAGATGGCGATCAATATGAGGACTTGATACTCAGTCATCGTGTGAGGACTGACTTCGTCTAGAGAGGCAGGTATCTGCGTCCGCTTCACAGTAAATCTGCCATCGAATCAACACGAGTTCTCACGCCCAAATTTGCGCTGCCTTGTTCTTACCCTCATGTCCATAAGCTCCATTACTCTTGGGTCATATAGCGCAAATATGCCTTCAAGAATTAGAACATGGGGGGAATAGATAATTGTCGTTTCTTCCAGGCGTTGATGCTTCTCGAAGGAGTACACTGGAACCTCGGCACGTTTGCTGGCGTTGGCTCAGTATTTGTTATGTGGTATAGGCTGGGTGTATCCCGACGAAGGTCATTAGTAGTTGCACCTACCCAGCTTTTAAATCTCGGAGCGTTTCAAGCAATGCATCGAAATCGATGGCCTATATAGAGGCCACATCAACAGTGAACAGAGGGTTTAACACGGGATTTGGTATTTACATCGGGCGAGTCAAAATCATATTCATTCATGAAGGCTTTCTTGGACGACTCAGCGTCAAGAGGTTTATAATACGAATCCTAGCAGAGGTTAGCACAAGTGCAGCCCGTGGTAGCCTCGTGAACACGTAACCAACCATTGATAAGATGACGACCCATGGGAGGTTCAGCTTTCTTACGATTGCCTGGGAAAGTGTTGATTTGCCTGAGCCGGAGCTACCCGCAATGCCGATGATGCTAAGGTCAGCCCATGGCGGGCTGTAATGTGCACGTTTGGTCAGTGTGGCTGCGCTCCTATCGGCCGCTATAGCAGGTAACAGGTGATTTCCAGGATCCATTGTCACTGCTTGATACTGAAACCGAGAAGAATCTAATTTGAAGACATGAAGCGTTCAATCCTAGTGGTAATATAGGTATCTGCACACCACCAGGTGCTAAATGTCACATGCCCGCCAAGACAGCCCGGTTATATGGGAGCTGATAGGAACAAACAGAGAGGTGAGAAAGGAAAGGCTCTAAAAAGTGTCCATAGAACGATGACAGCTAGCGTAGGAAAAGTACGTCTAAGTAAAAGCATGTAATAAACTACGATGTAAAGAGAGAGAAAAGAGCTTATGCCTCCCTGATCCGCACCGAATTAGTCGACCTACCTAGATTTGCATTATTTGATAATTAGTCCTGATTTATCTAGTGTAGGGGTGAGTTGAAGTGGGAAGATCTTTGCTGCTGACGAACACAGCCACAGCTGGAGCCTGCCACTACCTAACCTTAACAGTAGGTCCACGCTAGGCCCTGGAGGGTCAAGTGCGTCAAAATAAATACCTAGGTACATACGAAGTAGACAAGCCAGGTACAGGAAAGAAGAGAAGAAAAATATCGCGCCCAACTATAAAAAGAATCCAGAAATGCTAATTTGTATCATTCTGTGATACATATATATATATATATTCCTTTTCTCTTACCATCTCTAAAAGCTGTGCTCATTTAATCAATAGATTAGCAGAATCTACTTACACCGTTTTCGTACATGTGTGGTGTTTTGAAGGGCTGCACTAGGTACTTATCTACTGTAGGTATGTATCTACTATGTGCTCAGGCAAGCCCCATAGAGGGCAAAGCCACATGCAAGGAGCTTGGACCAGTGCATACCCAGACTAGGTACATATGCATCCAAGTTCTTTCTTTTTGCACCCTGGAACTACCCATTTTGACTTCTAAGCTTCATCATCTGTTTCTCTTATGTCTCCTCTTCGTCCTCGTTCCAGCCTTACATCTGTCTTGAGACGAGAATCATCACACGCTACCTGATGCGCAAAAGGCGAGATCTCTTCACTGATCAGCTAGATCATACATAAACGTGCTTCTTCGCTGCTTTCTCTCTTCTTCCTGCCACCTTCTACCGGATGTTTAGTGCGTCGCAACTCGTCTCCCTGGTTGACATGATGGTGCGTTGGCCGTCGTCCTCGAGCCTACACCTTGAGTGCATGGGATGGTGCTGACTTCTGCCCCGCGCGAAGACCTCGTCGACGTCTACAGCTACTCCTTCAAAGCACGAATTCACGCGGCAAGTCGAAGAGGTCAAGACACCGAAAAGGTAAGTAAATACTAGTTGATTTCATTTTCTTCGAGGTATTGCGTCCCTACCTGTCATGATGTAACAAATAATCAATGGGAATCTCTCTGAGTACACCGTGCGGAGATCGATTTTATCTTCTATTCTGAACCAACTTGGGCCCTCAACAATCCTCAGTCGCTTTTCTCTTAGCAATATCTTGGGCTAACATACAATGACACTCAAGTGATATCAACGCGCTCATCCTCGACTACCTCACCGTTGCTGGGTACCCTAATGCCGCCGCCAAATTCTCATCTGAGGCTAACCTACAGCCACAACAACCAACGTCCGCGATACAACAGCGGTTAAGGATTCAGAAATTCATACATAGAGGAGAGATTGAAAATGCATTACAGGAGTTGAATCAAGTATTTCCATCGGTAGGTCTACCTCAATCCTCTTGCTTTACCCATCTCGCTATGATTAGAACACGAGTTTTACATGCACCACTCATATTGGTCTTCGGATCGCTGATGAGGAACAACCACTTTACTATGAGCATATCGTACTAGTTGCATTGCTGTCATCTTCATCCTCGAGAACCTGCTACTGACTCTGGAAAAGATACTAGATAATGACGACTCATTGTTGTTTGCACTGCTACGCTTGCAGCTAGTAGAACTAATTCGGGACTGTAATAACAGTCCCGATCGTGATATTTCGGCTGCATTAAAATTTGCACAAACTAAACTAGGGCCCAAGGCAACAACGAAACCAGAGTTTCTGGAAGACCTAGAGAAAACCATGTCCTTACTTGTCTTCCCTCAGGATGATTCTTTAGACCCATCATTGTCGGCACTCTTGCAGCCAAGCTTAAGGAGGGATGTTGCTGATCAAGTGAATCAAGCGATTCTTGAATATCAGCAGCAACGCAAGGAAGCAGCCATTCGACAGCTTGTGCAGATGAGGGTTTGGAGTGAGGAGGTTGCTCGTAAAGACACTAAAAAGGATTTGCCTGAAACGATCGAGTTAGGTCTAGATGGCGATGGTTCCTGTTCTCATGATGCTGTTTCTAACGGCCATGAGCCCATGATAACAACCTAATATATCTCTCCAAAGCACGAATTGCTTGGAAGATATGGCTTGGTGCAGAAATACCCTTCTAATTATGGGATGCACCTCAACCCCTTGGCTTTGGACAAACTTGATCTGGCGCTTCGACAACCTCAAGGTCTTCAGGGTTGAATGATGAAATGGCGTTTATGGCTTACGACTTTGGCGTCTAGTAGATGTCAAATGGCTCGCTACATATTATGATGGCCTTGTTATTCTTGTTTTGAAACGTGGGGGTATGGCGTTGAAAGTGCATTTGACGAAAAGACGATAGCTTTTCTTTGGTACGGGGTATTTGCTTAAGAGGCGTTCGTTATGGAGTTCGGGGGGGGGCGAATACCATTTGATAAGGTCTTCACGATACTCAGCGGAGACAGGCATTGCCTTTTGCGATACTTCTAAGAAACCACCGTCTAAATATATGTACAATTATGCGTACTGTCACGAGCAACCGCGTCTCGAACTATTTGGCCCGGACAAGCTTGAGCTTCTTCGGCGAATACAAAAAGTTGTTGGCGTAAGCCTTCGGTGTGAAAGCTCTCTGTTTAGGCTCTTGCACATAATATTCGTAGCCTTGCTTTTCCGCAAAGCGAATGGCATCCTCCTTGGTTTTGAACTCGAGTTTGGTGCCTTGCATGAAATCTCCAGATGACTGCCATCCCATTAACGGGTTCTCCCATCGGTGTCCCTTGGCTAAAACATCCCAATCCATTCGCCAATGATGGGCGCCCCAGGTGCCAGACTGTGTAGCGGGTTTGGACGGTTGATAGATGCTGTAACACTGTTCAGAACGTGGAAATAGGCAAGAAAGAATGTGAGTCTCGCGTTACACACCGGACAGTTCTTGCTTGTAGCTCGATAGGCGCACCCGACAAAACGGCAGCAGGAACAACTTCAGTATCCTCGCTACCATCCATAACATACTTAGGTACCGGGGTATACGTCCTGCGAATTCATCAGCACGATAGTCTGCTTTCCCCTGGTTGCTGAGTCAAACATACGAGGTCGCCTTGTCGATGTGAACATTATAATCAGGAGCATTAGCAGGCCGGGTTTCGGGGGGACTGGGCAGATTGTTTTGGCTAAGGGCGATCGAAGCGTTGTCGGATTTCAGTCGCACCTGGGCTGTGGCAAAGGCTGATCGGCTTGTCATCGTGCTGGAGACTCGCAGAAGCCGAGCAGCCGAGTGCGCTCTTAGGGATGCCATGTTCGCGAGTCGGCCAGCTCGATTCGCGTGTCAATGGGCGGGTTTCGACAGGAGGTAAGTAAAGTGTAAAGTGATGCGATACGTACGGGTGAGTGGATTGAGCATCAACGCATTGTCGAGCAAGCTTGGTGGTAGGTCGGGATGGTGGGTCACTAAAGCCAAAAAAAGGAGCTATGATTGGCTGTAACGGCAAGACCAGCCTGTAGGTGCCGAATAGTGGGCGAGGTCTTTTCTGCAAGGCGCTCACCTCAAAATCGAGCTACTGACCGAATCACCACCACCAAACCAAGTCCGCTTCATCAAACGACGCACCCATCACACTGCTTCAATTGCGTGCGGTAGTCGCCAGCCAATTGATCCGTGTGAATCTGTACTTTCTTCACTTTGTTTCGCGCCGAGCTTAAGTGTCCGCCACCATGAGTTTCGTCGCTCGTCGGGGTCTTTCAACCCTCATCCCCCCCAAGGTTTGTTGCCTCAGCCGCTTGTGTCTATCCTGGTGCTAATATATATATCTTCAGGTCGCCTCGCCTAGCGTATGTAGTTCTCTATATTTCCCTTCATCCCCGATCATTCCTACCGGCCGATTGACCCTTGGTTCGAACACTGTGCACGCACAAACCTAAAGTTTTATCTGGCTCGCGCTTGCGACACTCTCGGCTATGCATTGTGATATGGAATCGGGACAAGGTTGGGCTTCTGACAAGTTTCTTAGGCTATCGGTGCTGCCCCCGATGCTGTCCGTATGAAGCGGGTGGTCAGCTTCTACGAGAAGCTACCGCGAGGCCCTGCTCCTGATATCAAGCCAACAGGCCTCTTTGGCCGATACCAGGCCAAACACTTCGGCAAAAACCCAACCGCAAAGCGTACGTGCTAAACTTTTAGCTCCTTCGCCGTTTTCAATCTCGGCAGACGATATTGTTGGTACTGACGTCTAATAACTCAGCCATTATCCATGCCATTGCTCTTATTCTGGTAGTGGGATACCCCATGACCTATTACTTCCATCTCCGTAAGTCGACAGTATTGAGACGAGCTTGATTATGAGACCCATTGCTAACCGTAGACAGGCCACCACAAGAACAACGCACACTAGATTTCGAGCAAGGAATACAAGGGTACAAGCATGGCATTGTATATAAGATGATTGGCGCCACATTGTAGGTTGCCGTGTATTAGCAAAGCGGGAAGACCCTTAAGATATCATCATCTCAAAATTGATTCCTTTTGTTCCGGTCTATACTAGCTATCGAGCCCTCCAACTTGGTTCCATCTAGATCTAGCTTGAAGATACTGGTCGCATTACCTCTGCATTTTTGGGATATGCTGACTACAGTCATCCATTCTGGATTCCCATGTCTTGCCTGCGTTGCTATTATTATATAGATCTGTTGATTTTGACTATGGCCACTCTCTACCAGTTTTAAGTAAAACGAACAAACGCAAGTGTACCGCATGTCTCACGTTATGTGTGCTACATAGGTATAACTGTACCCAATTGGCTGTATGCTGTATGACTCAAAGGTGCCTAAAGTACATACAATAAAATACCTGAAGTGTACATATAATCACCTCCACGATTACATATGTACCAAGAGGATCTAATACCTAAGTGATTGTACTGGGATGACTCATAAGTAATCGCATTGCTGGCAATGAGATATACTTGGCGTAATATGGTGGCTCGGGTGGGACTAACTTCTCAGGCATCTCAACAATGGTCGGCTGGCACCTGCTGTCGTCAGCCTCTCCCGTTTCCAGGCTCTTCTCCACTTTTTGCTTGTCAACCAAGAGCTTGGGACATAGCAACTTTTGCACCCGTTTTGAAGGAAATGCATTGAATCCTTTAGCTGTCCCTTTCTATTTTCATTCTGTACCAATAACGTCTCCTACATTGAGTAGCGAGCTTGTTTTTTCCTTTCCGCGGTCAATCGGGCGCATTGTTTGCGAGCGCGACGCATCGACCCTAGCCCCCCGCGACTGACGCCAAGTACAAACCTTACAACACACCCATTTTTGACTCCGCTGAGTTAGTTCCGGATCATTCGACGACAAAGACACGTTTTGTACCGACACATATACACCCACGCACACTTTTGGTGATCTACCCCGGACATTTCAAGTGTGCATCACGCCTGTCTACACCCGGATGATGGCTACTGAAGCCACTGTTGGAGGGCCTGTCGATGTATCTGTGAACGAGCCATCGCTTGTGAGTATCCGCCGAATATTCTCTCTTCGCTTCCTGCGTCTACGTTCTGCCTAAAACACATAGGTGATAGGCACATGCGCCAATCTTTCTAAGTGTCTTGCTACCTCGATTGCCTTTGAGTAATGTTGATAAAACGGCGTCGGCATCATCGGCATGCCTTGGGAAGACGAGTCCTCTGCTGACACTTGCGGTTTCTTTAGAACCAGCCTACTTCAACGGAATCGAGCCTTCAAAATGGCAGCCCATTAAATGTTCCAGCCAGCCGAACAGTTGACGACCTCGAAAACAAGCAGATTACTGAAATTGTTGATGAACTTGTCAACTCTGCGGAGGCTAGCGTTAGTGACGGTTCGGACACTGAAGCATTCAAAGCCGACCCTACCAAATCTTCGAGCGAGAAGGGTCACCTTCGATCTTCCTCGACCGTAAAGAAGCCCCAAAGCTTCAAGTCTGTTTCGGTAAATCGGACATTTCTTGCCTCCAAGAGTGCCACGGGCTCAGCATCGCGCCCCGAGTCTGCCGCTGGATCTACCTCAACGACGCCTCAACCTACCGTTTCGTCATCTGCCTCGCGCCTGAAGCTAGTTGCAAAATCCGGTAGTAATTTGGGTGGTGCTTCTAAGACCCTGAGCGTAAACGGAAAGTCTGGTGTACCAGATCCTAGTTTAGTATGGAATCGCAATCGCGGTATGCCAGTCACTTGTATCTGTTCATACTAAGTATCCACATCTAATGATTCCTCTAGCACCCGTTCAACCAGACACTAAGAAGCGTTCCGACGAAGAACTGAAGCATGATGGTATTCATCTGGCAGATCGCCTTGGCCCTGAGGATTTGAAGGGTCAGTCGAATTGGGCCGATATCGACGATGACGATGAATGGGCACCAGACACCATAACGTGGGGTGATGGCACCAAGATTACGTTGCCGCCTGCCGATGAAGTTACAGCAAGCCCGGTTGCCCAACCAGCACTCGTTGACAAAGTCAAGAAAGATCCAATCCTTGTCCCCAAATCGAAGTCTCCCGCTCCTGTCTCTAGCGCATCCGGATCTCCCTCCATCAAACATGGTGTCCTAGCCTCGGGGAAGGGCCTTGTTCTCAAAGGTGCCCCAGAGAAGCCTACTTTAGTTGCGAAACCACCGGCACCCACCGGTCCTGCAAAATCTCCGTGGGCTACACTGCCACCAGTTGATAAGGTGTCTCCGGTGGTTATGGAGCTACCGGGTCAAGCGCCACTTTCGCGATACCCATTGCGTGATGCATCAAACGCTAAAAGCGCTACGCCGCCGCCGCCTACCAAAGAGATCGCAGCAGACGATTTTAGCAGGAACTATCGTGATTCACAGTTCAACACTAACCGTGAGCTCTTTAACTCTCAATCTGGCCGCTACGAACCTGTTTCGGACCGGAGGGGTTCTCGGCATGATATTTATGCTCGTCAGCCGGCTCTATTGCATCGTCAGGGTCACAACGAACAGCAGGGGCCCGCAGAGCCGTCAGCGGCTTTTCAGACAAGCCGAAATAGTGTGCAAGAAGGACCATATGGTCGCCGTCGGGGTTCCTCTAACGTTAGCGGAGGAAGTGGTCATCTGGCGCACCGAATTGGGGGGAAACCTCACGACATGCCGCCTCCAGTGGAACTTGGCTTAAATCAAGGTTCAGCGCCTTTGCCAAGTGGTGCATCGGTTCCTGGCAGCGTTGGAAGCCCCGTCATTTCGCAAGTATTTCCAGCTAACAATCTCCCACCGAATCAGCGCGTACACCCACCCCCTTATCAACCACTATTATCACCTCACCAAACTCACGCTGTACCATATCAAAACACATATAACCAGGAGCCGCCACAGGCTGGTTCCGACGTGGAAACACTCCAAAAGGAGATCATGAAACAGAAACGAGAAGAGGCGAGAAGGCGGCGATTGGATCAGGAAGAACGCGAGGAAGCTGCAAAAAAAGCACGTATCGCCGAGAAACTCAAAGCTCTTGGTCCAGCCCCCGAGCGTAAAAGTGCTAAGAAAGATATACCTAGTGTTATTCAAAAAACGGAAATCCCTGCAGCCCTTGCCGTACGATCCAAGACTGCATCTGACACGAAATCCGCAACCGATACCATGCCTCATGGAACCGATTCAGATGCTAAGGTTGACAAGCCTGCTGCAATCGATAGTACGTCGAAGGAGGCCGCTGAACCAGACTCGCATGTGACAAATGGACCTACGAAGCCGCCCATGGACTATGATCAACCCCGAATGCCTTCAGCTCAGTCAGTAGCTAGTACGCATGGCCAATCCGCAACATCATGGTCTGAGGCGTCTCAGCAACCAGATCGGTTTCCAGCCTGGACTGGTGGCCACAAGAATACTTCCAGAAATGTGTGGGGTGCACCTGGGAATGACAGGTCACTAGGCAATGGAACATTCAACGCTGATATTGGACCTCTACCTGATTCCCACGTAGCCCCAGGTACCAATCTGATTCATCGTCCCGCGCCCATAGCACCACCCCGACCTACTCAAGCATCGCAATCTGAAGCCCAATCGAACCGTCTCCCTCCTATTGGGCCCCCTCGTGCACAGCCTAATCCTGCGAATGCTTGGAATTCCTACGACGCCCAAGCCGATGATGAGCGAAGACGAGTGGAAAGAATTAAGCAGAGAGAGGTGCTAGCTGAAAAAGCCTCGGGGCCTATATTCACGGATACCTGGCGTTCGGTAGATCTGAATGGTGAGGGCAAACGCAGCTCAGTTGGAACATACGCCCAGTCACATAGAGAGCCTCCAGCCGATTTACCAGAGGTTGATAGAACTGCTTCGCAGTCAGAAGTTGGACGGCCGGCAGCTGGCCCTCCTTCAACTCCTGCACCACCAACAGGCCCTTCAGCACAGACTCGCACTGGTTCTCGCTTTTTCCCCTCAAAGGAGGTACCATTTTCTACACAGCCGATTCCGCGGTCAAAGTCGCCTACGCCACCTCCGCCAACAGCCGACGGTCACCCTGTATACGACGGAGATGCTACTAAGCCTCTCGTTGCACTTCCTCCCATGAGACCGAGGGTGAAGCTTCCACCATCTGCTCAATCAGCTGCTCCCGGTCCTATTGCGCCTCCTTCTAAACCAGCGCCTGTAACATTCGCTGCAGCTGCCGCTGGGGCTGCCTCAACTGCATCTAATACACTGTCCAGGTCATCCGAGACGAGCGTAACTGGCCGCCCAGTCAGCCGAGGGCGGGGTTTTAATGGGATACCCCAGAAGCCTCATGAGATCGCCTCGCAGGAAAATTGGCAAAGCAAGATTAATAATCTTATGGGAAAGAAGTCCACTTCTCCTGCCAAATATATACCCATAGGTTCAATGGCGGACTCATTTGAGTACTCTCGTTCACATGATCACATGGATGTCCCTATTCTTTCCCCCGCCGGCAGTGACTCTACAGACGACAGCGCGATTACAACGAAGGAGATGGCCGAGGAATGTTTTGGGGAGCAAGAAATGGGGTCTCTCCCCGCTGTGCTTCTGCCAGTGGAAACACCAGATGCAGCATGGCAAGCTGTGAAGCCCAATTGGATTCCTACCCCGACCGAACTACGTGTCTCCCCTAGTGGTTGCGAGCCGTTCAAGTTTAGTTTCGATTATGTTGGAGACAAGAGTGTTATTCGCATATCTGCTCCTGGCATGGCTGGTGCTAAAACTGTGGATGCTCCTCTGCTCAATCCACGGTCAGGAAGCAACCCTCGGCGTGCGGGACCCCGTACCGGAAGTTCTCGCCATCCTGCTCGACCTAGCCGTCGGGGCGGTCGAGACCCAGTAGATCACGCTGGTGATCATAGCACGACCTCTTCCTCCAGCCGCGCAGTATCGAGTCGTACAGAGCGTAGATTCCGACCTCGTGGCGGAGAACCCTGGGGTAGACATGCCCCTTCAACGTCTGCAGCACAGTCTTAATCGGACCTCAAGTTGACAACACAGCTTGAATTAGCTCCGATGACTGCAAACACTTCCACAACACTAGGAGTAATTTTTTTTTTCGATGCGGCATATACTACTTTCTTATTCATTCAATGATGTCGCAGGCACTTATCAGCTTTCTACCTGCAATAGAATCCGAACAAAACTCGGATCAGCAGTGTGTATAAGTAATACATTCAGCATTTGTTCCTGGTATAGTGTGCTGCACATTTTCAGACAAAGCTACACATTACATATTCTTGTACCCGTCCCTGCGCACCAATTGACCCTTCAAGTTTAACGATAGTAACGAATAAGGGAATCAGCTCTGATCTGTCGTCTGCTTGCGAAAAGACGCTCTCTGTCATCACCGTTGTGATATCTCAAACCTCCAGACGGTCATGCGGAGTCCTAATTGGAGTTGACGGGTCAAGGATAGGGGGCGAAAGGAAAACAACCAGCTCGGCGGCGACCGAATACGTGTATTCACGCCTAACAATACGATTAGGATGACGTTGGCGCGTACAATCAACGTGTAAAGGGACACTTCTTTTTTTCCATGGCACGGAATACAACGAATGGGAGCAGAGCTTTTCTTCACCCATTTGGCGGACGAATGTGCGTGATATAGTAATGATTGTTGGAATGGTACTGGTGATTACGATGGATTCATCGCAGACAACGCTCTTCTCCCCTGGTAGGGACGCGAACACTTTGCTCTGCGCCTTTGCCTTACAACAACGGAACACCAGTAACAATGTTTGTTGCGCCCACACATTAACATGACTAGTGGAGCAGCAGCAGATAGCTTGTGAGACTATGCTGCTAGTTTAAATGATGAACCCATAGTGGCACTCTGGACAGAGGGACGGACAGGTAGCAAACAACTACAAGAATAAGAACAACGCAAACAAATATCTTCTTATAACAGACTTTTGAGCGTCGTGCGCTTCGTTCATAAAGTAGCCCACAATCTTGGGCTGTAAATTTCACCTCAAGTGCTGTATATCTTCTACTCACAAAAACCTTAAGGGCTGGCCGTTGGGTTCTATCTGTAGTAGGTGTTACATGCTTCATGCTTCATCTTCTGGATGGTCTTACGCATGAGGAAGGATTGACTAACAGAGCTGAGCCCCTACTAGAGTATACGGAGATACGAAGGTACTTCACGTACCTACATGTAGGGGTCACTTGGCGCATGATGATGCACTGTGGTCTCACCCCGGAGCCCTATAGCCCTGTAGCCTACCTACCTAGGTACTGTGTAGGTCCCTTACGTGCTGTAGTTGGACTGTGCCCAGTGCCCAGTGCCCACTAGCAGCGCACTAGCACCTGACAGCGTGCCCTGGACCTGCAGTACATTTACTTACCATCAGCGTGCAGAGTGGGCTCCAAACAGGAGCGATTATAGAGCTTCAACTAGGCATTCCAACTTCTTCCCAAGCTGTTTCTCTACACCAACCGTTCCAACTCTCGCATCATTCTGCTCGCTCCCAAATCTCTGCCATTCCTCTTCTGTCGCGATCCCTCAGTCCGCCTCAAATTGCCCAAGATGGACTTCAAGTCTTTCGGCAACAGCATCAGGTGAGTTGCTTCAAGCAGGCTTCATCATCATATGAGCATCATCTTGTTATCAGGTTAGAGAGCGCTTTGTTGCTAATCCGCATTACCTTGTAGCAACTTTGGGTCTCAGTTCACCCCATCCATCTCTCGTACCTTTCAGTATACCAAAGAACAGCTTGGTCAGGCTGAGGATAAGGTCAGCACTTCACGGCCGCTCTGTGTCCAGATGCCTGTAGTTAATCAGCCATGTGCTTTATAGACCCAGCTCCCCCCCGATTACATCGACCTTGAGAAACGCGTCGATGCCCTAAAACAGGTCCACCAGAAATTACTTGCTGTAACGTGAGTTTTGAAGCGACAAAAAGATCACGGGGCTGCAACCGAGGACTAACATGTCAGCCGCGTCCTAGCTCTCAATACTCCAACGAAGCTTATGACTACCCACCCAATATCAAGGAGACCTTCCAGGATCTAGGACGCACTGTCAGTGAGAAGGTCCAACTCCTGTCGTCAGCATCGACACCCGCCGAAGCGCAGGCTGCTTTGACCGCGCCCCCATCCGCCAAACCCCAGCCAAAGACATTCAACCATGCTATAGCCCGTGCCAGTTTGGCCAGCTCCCAACTTCTCCACCAACAACATACGGGTGCTGGGGAAGACCCCATGGCCACCGCGCTGGAGAAGTATGCGCTGGCTCAGGAGCGTGTCGGTGAGGCTCGTCTTGCACAGGATGCGCAGATCCAGAGCAGGTTTTTAGCTGGGTGGAATACCACTTTGAACACCAACTTGACGTTCGCCACTCGCGCGCGTAGAGCCGTCGAGAAAGCTCGCCTAACCCTAGACTCTGTCAAGTCACGAGTCAAGGGTACAACTTGGAAGATGGGAGGCATTGGAGCTCGCGAGGAGCATCCCACCTCTGAGGAGCTACCCGTCGAGGCGCAAGAGGAGATTGAGAAGGCCGAGGACGAATTTGTTACCCAGACTGAAGAAGCAGTTGGTGTGATGAAGAATGTACGTCATATCTGCAGCGTTGTTGTTTGGGAAGCTTATGATCTAAACTAATATTCTTGCTAGGTTCTCGACACTCCTGAGCCGCTCCGCAACCTAGCCGAGCTAATCGCCGCCCAAGTTGAGTACCACAAGAAGGCTTATGAGATCCTGAATGAGCTCGCGCCTGTCATCGAGGGTCTCCAACTTCAGCAAGAGGTATGTGATGGCGAAAATCCCCTCTGTTGGGAGACAACTAGCTAACTAGATGTGTTGTAGGAAAACTATCGTAAGAGCCGCGAAAACGCCTCGTAGACGAGGGGGTTCAGCGTCATGAAAAGCATGACAACGCAAGGTACCTGTCATCATGCTGGGAAATGTGTCGGTTCCTCGAACATAATGCTTGCCGTTTCCTGCGGTGTCCAAGTGTGTGTGGGTGGCTAGGTGGTGAAGGATATTTCTATATGTATTCATTGATTCTTCTTGATGTCCCACTTCAGGGTGTTTTATTTTAGTCAGCCGATAGTAGATGAGAGAGGACAAGCCTCCAAATATGCCGGTCGTACCTGTTTCCTTGGATGCCTGTGTTGTCTCGCTCCAGCATCATCGGTGACGAGACCTCCTTGTGTTCGTAAATACTACTTGCGCAGCATATAGAAACACTCACAAATAACTACCTTTTCACTATTATAAGAATGATTTAACGTGTAGGTATATACCCCCATATATACCTGCTCAACTTATACACGTACGTCCTGGATGGGTTGGTTTACATCATGTTGGTCCCGCAGTCCATGACCCACTCACGTGATTTTGAGCTCTGATCAGCACCCCCAGCTACAGCGCAGAACAGCGGGTACGAAGTACCTCTGCTCTACCTAAGCTCCGGCATTAGTCGTCGACGAGCGAACTTGAGGCAGTTGATTGACTCTGTTCGATCCTCTCCCGTCCACGCAATTGATTCACCACAGCGCCGTCACCCACAATGCGGCGGACACTGCGACTCCTCGCCGACATCAAGCCCGCTCGCTATCTCGAAGCGGGCAACCCGACCGGCCTGACCGGCCTGTACACCCACAGCTCCCCGCGCTCGTCACTCCTGTTCCTGTACTCCCACACACTCGACAAGCTGCAGAAGTTCCCCGAGTCGTCGCTGTACCGCAAGTCCGTCGAGGCCCAGACGAAACATCGCATGTCTATCGTCGAGGCCGCCGTACCCCCGGGATACCAAGAGTGGGCAGAGCGTGCACAGAAGACTGTCAAGGAGAACCCCGGCCAGTTCAGCATCTCAACCAGTGCCAAAATCGACGGTGCTAGGGCTATCACCGCCGTATCCGGCGGCTCTGTCTTTGTCCATCGCACCGACCCCCAACCCCAGGACATACGGTACGAGGAATGGGATGGCGAGCGTATCACTGAGGGAGACGAGGGACTACGTGGTCCTGAGGAGCGTGAAGACCCCCGTCTGAGCGCCGTGTACGATAGGAAACCACTGGAGTCTCCTGACAAGGTCGAGTGGGAAGCTGAGCCCCAGATGACTGCCGATCAGTGCGTTCACCTCACCCTTTCGCCATGAGCAAAAGATGTATGCGTATGGGTGCTGACAAGAGGTTCCCCTTAGGGTCGAGGAGATCGAGAATAAGATCGGCGCCGGCTTGATCGAAGAAGTAGTACAGATGGCTGAGAGCGAATTGAAGCTCATCGATATCATGTACGAGGCAAAGGTGTAAGTTATTCCATTGTGCATGGAGGTACGGGTACGAAACTAACGAAACGCAGATGGGAAAGTTTAGAAGAGAAGCCGCCGGCAGGTCAGTGGGAGTACTTCGAGCGAGTGGCACCATAAAGATACTCGTCCCAGGCGGAACGATAAGAGAGTATAACCCCGAAAAGTAGACCTGTTGTACCAGTAGAGGATGGGTGCATTAGATGGCATTTGTACATACAAACAAACGAACTGTGGATTCATTACGCATGTCTTCGCAAAATGGCGTGTGTAATACATCACATCAAATTTCATCGAATTGTTCAAAGTGGTTTGAGCGCTGAAGCGTATGAGCGAGCAGCTTGATGTACAAATGATCGGCACACAGAATGAAGATGTCGATTTGCAAGTTCCGTCATTTCAACTGTATAGCATGCCTATAAATCTTTTCACTTCATATAGACGTAGCATAACTAGTAGTCTACTAACTTGTTAGGAGTGTATACGGTTATGAAAGAATTGGATCTTGAGCTAGCATTTTTTAGTTGGGGTGGGCGAAGCTATCATGCAAACCGCCATGCCCGTGAGACCTTCTCAGAATGTAAAGATATGTATTTTCCACGACTATTCCCAATCCCTTTCCCAATTCTCTCATAGCTATCTATCTAGCTATACGCGGGGTGTGAATTTGGAGGACATTGACACGGTAAGTACAGTATTTGACAGTCAGGTTATGCTCGCACTACCCACCTTTTCAACTTACAAAAGAATTTTGTATGATAGCTTCTTCATCCTAAATCGTATGCTCACATCACCACATTTTGAACAATTCCTTGCCAGGTATGAGGACGATAGGACTGATTCATCAATAGTAATTACATAGGGAAGCGTTGATCTTTCTCGATCCAATGGGGCCATTCGCCCTCTCGGTGCCGCCCAACCGTTTAGGTGTGCACTCACACAAGCAGCTACATGGCACCAGACAGCGAGACGAACTGTCAAGGGCGCCATCGCCACACGCCGACTCCGATGTAGAAACACATATCTCTTCTACGTCACGCCTACCTTCAGAGACTATAAATCCACTCAGCCATAGTCCGGATACGCTACGTCAGCTGGCACTAGCCGGGCTCAGACCCGAGGATGAGCTGCCGTCGCAAATACACAGAAGATTCCCTCATGAACCACTGCCAACGAGAAGCTCAACTAAACACCGCAAGGAACCGGTGTCACTATTTGACAGTGATGGCGGTGCCACAAGTGGGACGGAAACCGATGCCACCGTCACCTCCCAACGAACCAAGAAGCCGGAGAAAATTGTCGATGCAGCGCGACATACAGAGCGCATGCGCCACTTGAGCACCATGGCAGCCATCATGCACCGCTGTCTCCGCGACGGCGACATCCCGCGTGCGAAGAGAGCGTTCGGGCTCCTTCTACGAACGAGGGACGTCGACATACGGCTCGATGACCTCTGGGCTATCGGATCTGAGATTCTCATGCGCGACGGAGAAGAAGCCAGAGATGAAGAAGGAACAAGCCCACCTAGCGAAGCTAAGAAGCCGTCATCGTCATCTCGGAGAAAATCACGAGGGAACTTAGATGTAGAACTTCTAGATGACGATGACGACGACTCGGATTCATCCATAGCAGAGACGGAAGATGAAGTATTAGAAGAGATAGACGAAGAAGAAAGCTCCGCCGAACAAAGAGCCCCTCGGCCACCGCAACGCTGGGGCAGCGCAGCCAACATGGCGCAAGTAAAGCTGTACTTCGAGACCCTGGCCCAGCAGTATCCGCACGACCCGCACCGTCCGCGGATGCCAACGGCAGTGACCTTCTGGCCCGCGCTGTTCGGGATCGAGCTGTACAACCTCGACGCCGAGCTGCAGAGCGCGACGCACCAGATCTACACAGAGACCAGCTTTCCCTCCCCTTCTTCGTCCCGGTCTGCGTCTCCCGACAGGGATGGCTTCAAAAGCGATGGAATGGATATAGATTACGACGAGGAAGAGAGAGGGGTAGACCGAGAAGGAGGAGGAGACGGAGAAGCATCGGCAACCCGATACGCTGCCCTCGACGACCTGCGCGCAGCGACACAGCGCGGCGCCCTCGAGATAACATCGCGCATGGACACCATCCTCGAGAACGCGCCGTACAGCAAGCTTCCAGAGCTCCTCCGTCTGCGGGCCCACGCAGCCCTTTTCATCGGAGATCTCCACTTGTCCTCGCGCTTCGTTGAACGATGTCGACGACGCGAACAGCATGAAGGGGGTGGTGCGGGTGGTATATCACTGCGGCAAGCAGAGCGACGGCTCAAGGCACACGTCAAGACCCCCGAGGAACACGTGGCACTGGCCAGACGCGGCGAGGAGCAGGAACGGGCCAGGGGGTTCTTCAGACGTGTTGTGGAGGCTAAGGGGAGGTTGGAAGACTGGGTTTTGCGGTCCCTGGACGAAGATGATGAGGAAGAGGAGTGAAGAATGGGGGGGGTGAGTGGGTGGAGAGGATTGAGCATGAGGAATATATTGTATCGTGACTGTTACAATGGCTTGAGAGGTCTGATACCGTTTCCTTCAGCGTCACCGTCTTAATATCGTCTTACCATACCTAAGAACAGAATAGATCGTCTCAGCATGTGCAGTTGTGAAATGATTCTAACCCCGTCTATAAACACTTTGCCAGAAAGCCATCACATCGCATCGAGAGCTACGAGCGCTCCGTTCAAAAGTAAATTCCTGTTCCTCAGTGATAAGTGCTACAAAGATAGATTGCAAAATCCCAATATTTGATTCCTTTACACCTGCATTCGTCAAGCAGTGAAAGTGAAGAAACGGCTAGAATTACAGGTCCAATCGGTAAACATGGAGAAAACGGCAGATAACCTCCAAAATGGCCGCCGTCCATCTCTTACAGATCACCATTTAATCATTACTCAAGCCGGGAGCCATCCCCGACAGTAGCGGCTCCCCTCAATAAAAAAGGCCCCATGGGTGGCGCAGTTGAGCACTTAACTGATGAAACACAGACAGCCCAGCCCAATGTAGAATATAAATAAGGGGTACACAGCGATTCCGACACGGTTGCTGACGACTCCACTGCCGCCGAGGATACTAACACCTGCGGCCATAGCCCAGGCTACGAGTATGAGGTAGACGGGAATCCGGGGGATCGGGGGCAACCCAAGCGCCGATAGCAGCGCGGCGATGACGAGCGGGAACAGGGTGTATCCGATGATGCACACGCTCTGCATAAAGGATCTAATAACCAGGTTAGCTACCAGATAATTTGGCCACGACTCAAGCTCGGGGTTTTTTCCCCATGTTCCAAAGAAGCTCGCGAAGGGTGGTAAGAGTACTCACATATTGCCGCCCAACAGCTTGATCTGCAGCGTGACGATCGCCTCTCCAATCCACACAATCGCAAAGACGCCCGAGAAGATGGCGTCCTTCTGCGTGGGTTGGCCGCAGATACTCAGCAGCACGGCCAGCGCCAGACAGAAGATAAGCGGACCCCATAAATCCCAATCTCTGAGACCGGGTGTCATGTTGTTCTGGTTGAGCAAGGACTCGGGGTCCATGACCCTGCCGGCAAGGGACTGCAGTTCTTCGCGGGCCCCCGAGAGCCCTGCGCCGCGGAGGTTGGCGTACGCGCCCCGCAGCCCGCCGCTCGCCATGCCGCTTTCTATCATCGAGCCGCCGAACAGATACCGTGGGTACAGCACCTCGCGCATCTTGGACCACACGGCCAGGAGGTCGCGGCGCACCGTCTCCCACACCGTCTCGTCGATCGTGTTCTGCGGCGCCTGCCGGTCGTCGCCGGGGATCCGCGACGTGAGGTAGGACTCATTGAGTGGTCGTGACGACGACGACGAGCCGCCGCTCTGTCCGATGTTGCCCGTCAGGGGCGCACGCTGGGATTCGGCGTTGGATAACGGGTCGTCGAAGTCATTTAGGTCGGCTGTTGGAGTGGTGCGCAAGACAAATCGTTAGCCTGGTGTTCTCCTTCTTTCTTAGATACCCTTCACGCGTGGCCCAGCTAGCTAGCTTAGAGCTTGCCTGCGTGGAGCTGGAGAAGCCACGATACTCGCAAGATCTTAAGGTTACTTGGAAGTACTTCAATCATCAAACTCACCGTCATCTGGGTCGATGAGATCGTCGTCATCGTCTATGTGCGGGTTGTTGTATGGATTGCTTGAAGAGGCCATCTTGATGAAACGAAGCTGCCGGGAGCTTCAGCGGTCCTCGTCTATAGCTAGCTGTTTAAGCTTCCTCGTACTCGCCACGGCACACACGCTCTCTCTCTCGACTGGCGAAGGTGTTGCTCGACTCCTTGCTCTCTCGTACAGCTGTATCTTCAATCTCGTACCGGATCGTGTGTTCGTTTGTGGAAGCCTTGCATGCGGCGGTATATACGTGCATCCATCCGTGTACACGTACGTCGCCCGATTCTGTAGGTAGGTTGCGCTGGGAAATGTCAACCTGGCGATTGAGGTTGCCTGTTGGGTTATAGACTTTACCATATTGGGACTAGTGCAGATCGCTGCTTTACATACATGTAACTCAGTCCCAGCATCAATCAGTCAGGTGACTACGAGATGACTTACAAAGTATCTAAGTACAAACAACTTGAATATGTTTCCTTGGAACCGTTGATATTAGCTGTCGACGAAAGGATGGGAGCATAGCTTATATGTTGGTCGTTTATCGCTGATGAATCATGTAAGGGTTGAGGTTTATTGATGCTTAGTACAACGAAGAGTGATGTAACATGACGATGGTATTATATAGGTAGGTATAAGATCAGATATCAAAGACCTTCCCAACCTCAAAAGCATCGGCTTGGCCAAGGGAGTATCCTCGCTGATGCGCCAGAACTCGTTTGTGACCATCAACAAAGTCACAATTGAAATGGGTGTGACCAAACGCCCACATCTTGACATTCGGACTCATCCAGCACCCCTCCTCCCTAAGGTCTGTCACAAACCCCGACTGTACTGAACTATTTCGATGTCTCGGGTCAACGGCTCGATCATCAGTCGTCGGGCTATAATGCGTAAAAATAACGATTTTCTTATCTTCTTTGCTGAGCGCGTCGACCTGGCTATTCAGCCATGCAAGCTCCTCTTCGAACTGTGCACTATGATCCTCTATGAACCAATTCCGAATGATCCCAAAGTCGCCTAAGCTACGACTGACATCTCTCATTGATTCGGGCGGTACACGGGAAAACAGCGTACAGCCGAGGATCGTCAACCCCGGTTCTCCTTCGCTTTCGGACGCTGGGATATCGTAACGCGTCCGATCTAATAAAACGAATTCGCCGCACTGTTTCGCGCCTGCCGTTTCTCTCTGACTGCGAATCGTCTGTTCGAAAGCACGCATAAGCTGCCTTGTCTTGTCCCAGTTCGAATACCACGGTTCATGGTTCCCAAGTACAAGGAATACGACTCGAAACTTGGCCAGCTGTCGCCTCAGGAAATCGCAGTACTCGCTGCCGTGCTTGCTTGCGTAGCCGATATCACCCAGCAGCGCCAAGTAGGGTGCTTTGGCAGGGATATCGAAAGTATTGTAAGTCTCGGAACCTTCAAGGTGCAAATCTGATAGAATCTGGATCGCGACCATTGTGGTATTTCAGTACGCGTAGATCGACAGAGAATTAGTGGATTGTTGGTAGATGTAAAACTGGAGGGACTATTCCGAGGAAAGAAAAGTACCAGGTATAAGGAAGCAGAAATGTTACTGCTCCCATTCAAAATGGATGAGTCACACGCCGCCCAGAGTTTGTGCAAGTTACATGAGAGAACTCTCAGTAAAAGTTTATACAGAACTCTATATTGATACTTTCATCATATCTAGCGTGAAGCTAGTGCCCTTGCAATACCTAATAGGTTATTTATGTACAATGGCTTCGTGTTCGTTGTACTCTAGCAAAACTGGTTATTTTCGGGTCAATCTCAACTTGATAGACTTGGTGTAGATACCTCCTGGCTCCAATTGCCCCTTGAATCGCTTGGCTGATATTCAAAGTCAGCCGCATTGGCGTAGTCTCCGGACTGTCACATAACGTTAGTTTAGAAGTTTCCTGAGCCACGAGTCTAGAGACATCGCCGCTACCCATAGGGCTGTAGATAGACAGCTATCTATTCATATCCGTTATGGTAGGTCGTCAATATTCCGCCCAATAAATATGAACGGCCTGGCGAAAGTATTTTTCAAGTTGAAAAGTCGAGGAATAAAGTCTCAAAGTATTACCAGATAGTTCCGTATGCCTACATCGGCATAACAAAACGATAATATATTCATTGGGATATCTCTTAACTTTTGGGTATAGACAGAGTATATTCTCTCTGAGCCGGTGTCGAAGATGTAGTGCTGTTCCACCCCTAGCCCTTCGGCCAGACAACTTATATCCTGTTCTAAAGAGAGAAAAGAATCAAAGGAAATCCCTATCTCATCAATATACGAGACTTCTTAAAGTGACATAGTCATGCTATTTCCAGTCCAATAACGTCATTGGGATTACCCTATCCGGGAACGCCTTGCTCGAATCATCTCACAAAAAACAATTCAAATTATCCGAACATAGACCATCTATTCGAACAATCTCCTTGTTCCCAATTGACTAAAATCCTCTGGCGAATTTCCATGGGCAGTAGCTTGTGTGGTGCAACCTTGATCTTCATTCACGTCAAGTCGATTGGCTGGGACAGACGGTTCTGACCACTGCTGCGGGTGGAAGTTGTTTTGGTACCCAGACACAGCGAACGGTTGCTGTTGCTGACGCTGTTGTTGGGAGCTAGAGCAAGGTTGCAGTTGCTGTGAAGGCCTTATAACCATTGGATCCCGCCACTGGGAAGGATTCGAGCTGCTAGAATGCACGCTATCGGCTGGATCGTGTGTATGGGTGCGATATTGCCGTTCAAACCCCGATAGATGCCTTGGAGGAATTGTATCAGCTTGGCGCTCTTGCATGGGCCTATCGCGCCGATATCTTGAGGAAGATAGCGGTTCAGGTCCAAGGTAGGAATTTTCGGAGGCAGTAGGGTCCCAAATTGGAAGCCCGTCAGGAGGCTGAGACTCGCCACTTGGGTTACCACGAGCGTAGGTAGCAAGATTCCCGTTGATTCCAACGAGTCCCCATGCGAAGACGGCTACATCCCTAATTGATTTCATTAGTTGATCGCTCGGTGGTCCTTCCGCTGCCTTTACATCCTCTCTTACAGGCATGTATTGAGGTAGATAAGGTGGCTGGAAATTATATGGTGGTTCTGGCGGATAGTTGGGACGAACCGGGTGCTCGCTCCAGGGTGCCGCAAACAACCCATTTTCAGAGTTGGTTGGGAGCATTGGCGGGCGAAGGGACGGTATCTGTGGCCGCGCCCTTCTCAGAACCATGACCAACCCATCTGAAGTACAAGAAACGACGGCCTCGAGTTCACGCGTTGGTATCGGTTCGCGACCTCGAGCTGGTAGCTGCTGCTGTGATTCGAGTCGTTGAGAGCCTTCGGGGCTTATCACCTGAGCTCGGCTACTAGGTGCGGCTGAAAACTGGTGCTGAGCATTTAGCTGATCTGGAGCCACAGGCTGAGGGCTGCTAGTTGTCTCCCTCTTGATGAACTCGGCTGATTGGTCACGTATCGAGACACCTCCATCAGAGTCATTTTCCGATGCCGTATCTTGTTGATCCTCCATATCGATGTCACCCTCATTTTCTCCGGGGTCCTGTCGCACTCGAGGATCTCGTGACCAGAAGCGAAGGTAAGCAATAGAGTCGTTGGCCTTGGCGCTCTCGAGGCATCTGATGGCATCACCCCAGCAGTTCTCTGCAATACATTCATAAAGACTCTTGCCCTTCAGTTCGTCTGGCCCAACACCCAGTATCAAGGATACAGCATTCGTCGCAAACATGATGGTCAACGTCCGGGTAAACCTATTTAAGATTAAGGCAGCGCGGGGTTCCCGCTCTGTAGGCTGCATTTTGAATTTGGGTGATAGGTGTTCTAACATATGGTAGCGAGGGTCCCTCGGTGAACAGGAGAAGATTCTTCGTATCTGAGGTGCCTCAATCGCCCGTCCTAGCAGGGCATTAGCAGGGTAAGGGTAAAGAAGCGAAAGGCAGAATAGTCTCGTAACGCACTCTCACTTTTCTCACCACGACGATATATGCTTGTGCAAGCCACCAATACGTTGTGAACAACCGTAAAACAGCACTCGCAACTTACCCACCGACCATCTTTGGATAAGATGCGAGCATAATGCAGAACTGCTGCCTTGTCCAGCAGCACACCTCGATTATGCACCGAGCGCGCGAAGGGCACTTCATCGGGATGGAAATAGTCGAAACTGGATTTCCCCAGAATCTCGTGAGGCTGATAGCCCAAAATATCAACCACCGACTCCGTACAGAAGAGAATGTTGGCGTCGCAGGATAAGTCTGCTAGGGGTAAGCTTGCGAGCCACGATACCCCTTGAAGGGGAGAGGGTATAGACTCGGACGGGTGGAGCTTAGTTTGCTTAAGACGATGATCTACTGAGACTTACTATGGATGGTCATAAACGTCTGCTCCATGAGATTGATAGTCCAGCCCTATTGCAACTGTACGGCAAACCAGTGCAAACCAAGGTGCGATCTGGACGAAATGCCAACCGCTACAAATCATATACACGTACAGCTACAGTTATAGTAGCGTAGGGCACCAAGCGTCTCTTGGCGTCGAACAAGATGGACAATTCTGGGCCGATTGCGTGGGAGAGTCCGACGGTGGTGTTTGTCGCACGAGACAGGGAATCGGCCGTTCACACAAAGGGCCAGGCGAAACGAGCGAACGAGATGTCTCTGAATAACCGAGCAATGTAGGACACGGCCCCCACTCCTCTCTCGCCGTCGGGGAAAGTGATGAGTCTCACACACACACACACACACACACAAAGTGGTGTAACGTCAGAATACCGGTACGCGGAAGAGGAGAGACGTGGCTGGCTTGAGCGCACTATACTATGTAGTATGGATGACGAGCGTCACAGCTAGCGTGCGTGAGTGAGTGAGCGAGCAAGCAAGTGAACGAATAAATGAGCGAGTGTGAACATAGGTAGGCAGGCTTCTACTTCTCAGCGCGCGTCGTGGCGGGGCCGCAATTCCCTTAAGTTAGGTTAGGTTAGGTAGGTAAGTAAGTAGGTAAGTAGGTATCCCTCGGCTTGGTGCAGTAACCGTGCCACGCCCCACTGTTTTTCGGATTGCAGATTGCACACCTATTAAAGTAGGTGCTAGCCACCAAAATAACCAGTCAGCAAAATAACCACTTTTTTTAACCTTTCCACCTTTAACACTAAAAAAACACCCTTACAGTCGATTTTTAAGCTTTAAAATGGAATCTAACATTTAGAAAGTATTAGATTACCTATGGGACTTCCTATTTGTAAAGATAATGGTTATTGTACGAACCTTCGGCATTATGCGTATAATCTTTCGAAATCGCCTTGCAGGCTATAGCGGACCTAATTGACCGTTACCTTCGAACTTAAAGCTTAAACCTATTGAAGAAGAAGCTATTTATAATTATATTAACCGCTTTAATTAAATAAACCTAGCTATACGCGTTAAATTCATTTCTAACGCTGCTAATCGTGTATTAAAGGTAAAGGCTTACCTTTAAAATCCTAACCTACCTACAGTTAACTAATCTTAACTAAGGCGCTTTATTTAACGGTATAGCTACCTTCGAAGGTTATAAAAAAAGCTTAATTTAAACCATATAACATTTAAAAATATAAAAGTTATTAATAAATACTTTTAAAAGCTATAAAACCTATTAAAAAATAAAGATATTATTATAAAGGATATATAAAATATAAATAAAATTAGATTTTATATTAAAATAGTTAATAATATATTTATTATTACTAAATAAATTTAGGCTTATTATTTTACTTTATTTAAAAATAAAAAGTTAATTATTTATATTAAAGCTATTTCCGTTATTAAAAAGGTTATACCTAGCTTTTTTATATTAATAAGCTAAATATATATAGCTTAATAATATTAAACCTTTAAAATATTAAAATTAATAGCTATTATAATTAGTTTAATAAATTATTTAAATGATTAATTAAGCTTTAAATAAATTAAACACTTTAAAAAGTATATTATACTATTATAAATTAATTAAAAATAGCTATTTATATTAAATAGCTATAAATTTTATTATATAAAGGAATTTATAGCTTTTTATAACTTTTATAATATTATCCTTTTTAGCTTATTATTTTATTTAACCTATATACTTTAGCTATTAAATGTAACAGTTTTTTAACTTTTAAAGCATTATTATATAAAGGCTTTAAATATTATTATTTAAAATAGAATAATTAATATTATAAAGTTAAAATTCCTAAGGTATATTTAATAGGTTAAAATTTAAGCCTTTAAACCTTTAATAATCTTTTTAACCTTTAAAAAAATTGGAATTTACCCCTTTAATCTATTTGAAGTCCTTTAACTATTAGAATAACGAATCCCCCGTAAGGCAATACCCCCTTAATTTATAACCCCTAATCTATTATCTAGTTTTCCTACGCTAACCCCTATAACTTTACGATATATTAATAAAGTAATGTATTATATTATTAAAGCTTTAAAGGGAATAAAAGGTTTTAATTATAACCTTACTGGTGCTATTACCTAATTTATTAAAGGGTTTATTTTAAACGTTATAAAAGTGGTTTAACTTTAAGCTAACCTTTTAAGGACCTAACTAGCCTAAAAGGTCTTTTAAGCCCATAAATCGATAAAGAATACCCCTTTAAAGTTAAGCGGAGTTCTAATTATAGCTAAAGGTTGCTATATAGTTAAATAATTGGTTAAAAATAACTTTAAGAAGGTTCGAAGGCTTGTTAAGGCTGTAGAAGAACGCTATAGAAAAACCATTTAACGTACCTTTAAAAAAATAGCTAAAATAGTACACAATTAGAGGTATACTAATAGGCTATTGCTAGTGTTAATTATTTCTAACGATAGAAATAGGCGCTTTTTACGTAGATTCTAGCTATAAAGGTTAAAAAAGTGGTTATTTTGCTAACTGGTTATTTTGGTGGCTAGCACCTACTTTAGTAGGTGTGCAATCTGCAATCCGAAAAACAGTGGGGCGTGGCACGGTTAGCACTGGTGGGTGCGCAGGACCACATTCGCAGACTTTGGTAGCCACTCAAAAATAGAGACGGCGTTCTAGACCTGATCTTGGTATCAGGGAGGGAGTTGTTTGTGAAAAAGCAGGTAAGCGGCCGACCTTGAAGAACGAATGGTCAGAGCAAGTGTCCAGGGTGGAATGGATAGCACGCAGTAAGCCCGGGCGCGACGGAAAAGACGGACAGACGTAGTTGAACGATGGGCAAGACACGGTCCCCAAATATCATGATTCAAAGCGCCAAAGCAGCGTACTATAGTTCTAGCAAGAGGAGAAGGGGGGAAACCAGCCACGATAGGAGTGTAGACGGATATCAAGAGAGATCGGAACGTCGCATTGTCGTGTGTTGACGTGTGTTTTAAAGATGCACGCTGCACACTGCATGCTGCCCGTTGTCCACCCCCCGGCCTTTCTGCACCCCTCCCCCCGTCCACCGGCCCATATGGATGGAGTGGATGGAGGCATGGTAGAATGGTAGAAAGAGAAGAAGAAAAACGCCATTCGTCAATGCTTTCGTACCCACCATCAAAGCCGTTATGTGTCTCCCGTTAGAGCCCCTCCAAGCTTCCCCCAGCAGCAGACCGGTATATTGGATATTGGAGATAATACTGACTGCGTCTATACGTTGCTTTTGGCCAGGGTGTTACCTGCATGCAGCTTCATTAGACCCCCCTAGATACTACGTACCTACTAGTAAGTTACTAAGAAGTTACTAGGAAGTTACTTCGAGTTCAGAGGCATAGAGTGAGGTCCGTTAGGTCTCGGAACCAACCTGTATAAAAATAATGTATACGCGGTATGAAGCGAGTAACAGACCCGGTAGTATTGATACTTAGCTCCAATCGGTTACATATGGTTCCGGGCCTATAGTAAGGTATAGGTAAGTAGCTATTATCCGCAGGCAGTTTTCAGTGCCCTAGACGCCCTAGACTACCTAGCGGGTAGCAAGGGGTGCTGACCATGTAGGTACTTACTGACATGCCATTGCAATTCGTTGCCTATGCACAATTGATCGCCAGTACAGATTCCCGTCATCAGATAACTCTCCTAGTTCCTGGTAATCGTTTGGACTTGATATCGTAGATGGTTCCAGTAGTAATAGTCATCATAACTTCAATAAAGGTGTATTGCTCGGAGGACAGCTTGCCGGAGCCGGAGATATATGTTAGCATAAGTCCAAGGCAATAATACTATCGTAGATCATTAACAGCGTTTCAGATTGGCTCAAGGATAGCATCGCATCGAGTTAGAGTTCGTATTAGATATACGAAGTAGGTCGTTTCTACTACACGTAGAATAGCAACCTCCTTACAGTAGTACACTTACTTACAAGTGAAGGATGAACATTCGAGTTTACTATACGAAGTAGGTAACTGAGTTGATTATCTAGTGAGAAGGATTCTAATAATAATAATAATAGTCATCCCCACCATTATACATCATGCATACCAAAGTAGGTAGACCTTGCGAACGCAAGCTGAGCATTCATCCGAACCCTAACTGCCCCCAACTTGACCGATGTCCAGGGCGATTTAAGTGGTTGCCAAGATGAATGGGGATCGCATATAGCTTGGAGAAGAGAGAAGTGGGTGGCTTACGAAGTATTACTACCCGAGGGAAACGGGGCCGAGCCCACAGTCAATGCAGGTTTACCAGACATTTCCAACATACTATAACGGCCCGATGCTGCAATATATGAATAGTAATGTACTCAAGAAAAAGCAAGACGATATGGTCCCCGTCTTGCATTTTCATATTACTCAACTGTTACTTAATTGTTACTTCTTTCCTTTTTCAAATATATCACTAGCTTGCTACCCTGCTTTTCTTATCAGCGAGCTGTAATGCCTTTGCTGGTTTAAACTTACACTTGTGTAACCTTATATACCTCTTTCTGTTACCTACCTACATATAAGGAACGACGGGACAAATAGTCCGTGCTTAGATTCGTGCTTATTGTTGCTGAACAGTTCATCCGAAATAACCCAAAGTACACCTAACAAAGATAGCCTACAAGTCCAGGGTATACCTGCCCTAAAAGGCTAGGTAGATATGGCATCCGTTACTCTACAAGTTCAGCTTTGCAATAGTACATTCAGTACAGAGTACACTTCCAATCAAAACATCAATTATCGGCTGTTCATAGTAAAGAGATAGGCTTTTCAAACTCCATTATCAACATGCCTATAAGCTTAGATGTTGAATGCTATCTTAAATATTATCTACCTGTCCAGGAAACATTCATAAAGCCCATATGCAACAATATAAGCTAAGGGCCTTGAGTAATGTAAAAAATAACAGAAGAGGGAACTTTGAGAAGGACAGGACTTGACCCCACGAGAATTCGTTGCATGAGGAACCTATACCAAGATGACCAGAAAACTTATAT